CAACTGAACCCCAGAATCGGGGGGGATTTCCTGCATGACTGCAATAAATGCTTTAACAAAATGAACCAAAATCTGATTCAAACATCTCAAACACTGGACGGATTCAATTCTGTCCTTATATTTCTTGTTCCCAGAGGATGAATCTTTCTGACTATGACGACTTTACTTTTAGCACCACCAGGAAGTAGATATTTGTGTTTTTCAGTCAAATCTCTAACAGCTTTGATTTGTTTTGATGACATGTTGACTGGAATAGGGAGAATGGTTCTGCTTCAATTCCTACTCCTCAACCCGAACGCCTGTTCTTGCTCAATGTAACTTTGGTGAGTGAGTACGATCTGACTGACTGAGAGTCGGGATCCGACCAATGCTGAGCTGTAGATCAGATAAAAAGATAGAGAGGTCATTAAAAACCAGCATTTATCTCCATTTATTAAATAAACTTGAAGAGTTTGGTGTATTTGTTACAGCGGCAGCTCGAACCCGAGGATCATGGGTAATATCCACCACTCGGTTGTGTTTCAGTTCAGTGACTACGCCCAACAGATGTTTTTTTTCTCTAAATGAAAACCACTCCACCACACGGAGCCCAACAAAATCAATCACCACCTGTGGCTGCAGAGGGCGCTATTGCTCAGTAAAAGTTACATGGTTTTGCTTTAAATCGTGAGTTGGGTTTAGATCATCGGGACGATTAGTCTCTGTCAGACAGTGTTATTCACACATTGGTATAGTTGTATACTATAATTACACAATATCCTACACACACACACACATCATCTGCAGCAACATTATATCTTCTGCCTCCCTTCAACGTCTCTGGCACAAACTCTACTGTAAAAGTACCATGAAGCTGACTTTACCCTCTTAGCTGCACATTGTGGATTTTGTTGGTGTTGGAAGTGAATGTCTGATCATATGAATGTCAAAGTTGTCTCACAGTAACAATGGGAACAGTGTCTGCTGTCATGCTGCCATGTTTCCAGGCCTGTGGGGCCAAACATCTCAAGCCAAAAAATCTATTGACTGAGGGTACTTTCCTCTTAATGAAATGCATTTGTAGGCAGCTGTGTAGTTACCTCTGCAAAAGATTTAGAGCAGTTCCCTCGAAGAAATATCACATCAACTCAACAGAATTCAAAACTTTTGCCTCCACGCTGGTTTATGGCTCATTTGTGGGGTTCTGTTGGACTTGTGAGGTCCAGTTCCACACACTCTAACGTATATATTTCTGCATTTTGCATCATCACAGGGAACAAAGTTAGTATCTGAGTACATTCATGTTTCCATCAAATCAATGAACTCCAGGGTTTAGAGGGATCATTGTTCTTTCTGGGGATAAAGTAAAGTAAAGTAATATTTCACACAAAACATAGTGTGAAATAAACTCTTTACAACGTAATCTGGATATTGGTATTCCAACAAAAACACATTTTACATTTCAAATGTATATATATACTGTTGTTATAATTACTGTTGCAACAATCTGCTGATGCTCGTGGTGTGGAGTTCAAGATTCTGTTTTTTCCGGTTTTGAGAAACACTCCAACACCTTCCAACATGTAATGAGGATGAATGAGGAGAAGTCTCTTTTGTATGTGTCCTGTCAACAAACAGCGGGCAGTGTGGTCACAGTGTGGACTCTGATCACATCAGCAGCTCGTACATGTGGAACTGTCACATTTAAGCCACATGAAGTCGGCCTGCAGGGGGGGAAGCAAAAACTTTAACGGACGTAAACATGGAACAACAATCGTTTAGGTGGAGCAAATAATTCTTATTTCCACGTTTTACAATGTGTGCACAGCAACTGTTTGATCTATAGTCACTGTTACAGTTATCTATCTATCTATCTATCTCTCTATCTATCTGTAGGTCATTCATCTCAGACTGGAGAACAGTGAGCTGTTGCTGTCAAGTCTTTAAAGCACAATGACAGTATATTATATTTACAGTGCAGTACATATACAGTATAAAGAGCAGATGATGATGGGAACATACTATATTCTGTATTTGAATGTGATTAACTTAAGTATTAAAGTTTATGAATGTATTCAAAGCATTTTTTAGCATTAATATCTAACTTATGTTGACAATAATAATAGGGTAGGATTTTCTTTTTTTTTACTTTAGAGTTGCTGAATAATGTTTTATTTTTGATGTATGCTCGATATTTATTTTTTACACTTCAATCATGTGAGGGACAAATACTTAAACCTTGTCTTCCCTTTCTTCTTCCCCCTGATTTTTTATATTACTATGAATTAATAGTAAACTGATGAATGTTTTTTTTTAATTGAGGATTTAACTGGTATTCTTATCGATTGTATATTTGCCTGTTGCACCTTTTGCATGTCTGACTCTGCCACTTTTTGCAGACAGAATTGTACAATAAATCTTAAACAGTGAAATCAATGAGTCTCTGTCTTTTTAACAACTGGATTTCATTTTGCTCTCTTGGAGTTAAAAAATATTACGAATACGATGATTAAATATACTGAATAATAATTTACTGGATCCCCATAAGAGTAACACTAATTCATTTGAACAAAGTGGGGAATTGTTTCTGGCAATTCCAGCTTTAGCTAATTTTTCCAATTGAATTCACTTATTGAGGCTGACTCACCAAGTCTTCCTCACAGCGATCGGTCGCTCTCAGCGGAGCGCTTACACAGAGAAATGCCCGGTGTCTTCCACTAATCTCCTGGAGATCATAACATTACATTCCAATGTAAATCAGAAGTGGAACATTAGTGTAAAGACTCAGAGCTAACACTAAACAGACCCAGACACACGCAAGTAAACTCACACACTGTGGCAGAAGAAACAAATATGTTTCCATATGCCCACCGGGGACACCAGAACATTTGTCTCAGACTTTGAAACCTTCTGATGGAATCTTCCTCCTGCCGTCATTCTGTCGAGGTGTTTCTCATCCAGAAACCAGCTTCACACCGAGGCTGGAAAAGTTGATTACTTGATGTCCCCAAAGTGCCGTGATGATGCCATTTAAAGCGTCAAGAAACAGGCATGTCGTGCAGGGAGCTCGACCACCTCAATCAAATGACTCTGTGTGAAGACCCTGTGGCAAAGAGCAGGGCTTGTATTACTGTAAGTGGTGCTTGATGCACTTATGGTCCAAAACCTCAGTGTTTTTACCAACAGAAGATACAAAACGTCCAGCCACTAGATGAAGCTTAAAGGGACAGTTCACCCAAAAAAAGAACATTTAGGCTAGAAATGTGTAAATAACACAATTTCGAGTCAAGTTTGAATGTGGGGACTTATGGACACTTGGATGACACCACAGGAGCAGTTTGGAGGCCTGCTTATGTTTTTGTCTGTTTACCCCTAAAACTCCAAAAGTGTTTTGTGGACTCAGACACTTCACAGACCCCTCCATCGGCATAGTGGTGAGTAGATAATTAGTGAATTTTCATTTTTGGGTGAACTTTAAACAGAGCCATTTTTTGAACATTTAGAGACAATAATTCGGCTTTGCTGAATACAATAACTCCATGCATCCATTATCTATAGCGCTTATCCTTTGAGAGTTGGGTCTCAAATCCAAAATATTAGACATAGTTAAATACAATGTGTTACAGCTGCGCACAGTGAGATCAGGGGTTAGATTTAGGTTCAAACTGCGGGAACGGACCTTAAATCTGTTGTTCCCCTGGAGCTTTCTTTACTACAAGAGACAGAGACACTGCGGCGACTATTTTAACATCTTCACTTCACTGTGATCTGATACTGAAGTCTAAGAGGCCTTCACATCTGAGAGGTGGATATTCAAAACACTGCAGTATATCACTTTAAACTCTGTGTTTGTGGTGGGACGGGGGGGTGATGTTCACGTTCTCACCTTACTGGGGTTGTCAGGTGGGATTTCACACTCAGTACATGTGTTTGTCTCAGTGGAGAATTTGACCTTTCACTCCAGAGAGATTTACAGGTCTGTCAGAACAGCCGGGTCACACTGTGGATACACCGGAGTGTGTGACCTGTGTGCGAAGGTGCTAAAATCTGCTTCATATGAGATTGTGTGTTACACAATATTTTGGAAGACTGTGCACTAACCCTCCTGTTGCACAATCTGTAAATCAAACAGCCCTGACGGGGGGGAAGTGAGTGTGCATGTGTTTCATGTCAATGGTCTTTTTGGCAGATGTGATCGCTTTGCTTTCTGACAGTGACATCATGAAGTGTTTAGGAATTAAAGGCTGTGGAAACTCTGAGACGGAGATTGAGCAGTGACGTGGGGAACGGCAGAGAGGCGACAAGGACAACACCGATGCAGAGGTCTGGAGCTGTTGAGTCCACAAAATCATTTCAACTTGGTTAAGAACAGTGGCCTTTGTACAATTGTATTTTGACAATAGCTAGATAAATTTGATTCAACAATGCATCTAATTAAAAAAAAAAAAAATTTGCTTGATGGACAACACCACGGGATTGTCCACTGGAGGATCATCTCCAATCTATTTGGCATTTATTAACTTCTCAATACTAAAAATAGGCAGTAGCTGCTCTACTGAGGCCATTCTAGTTAGATATTAGTTGGTTATTTTGGGTGAACTAAATGTCTTTGTTTATAGCATCAGTTGAATCTATTTATAAATTGTGCCTTTTGTATTTTAAAATAGTTTTTACTCTAATATAGTAATTCCCCTCTATACTGTCTGTGCACTATTAAAACCTGTTTTCGTACATGACAAAACTCAGTGAGGTAAGTATTGAAAGCAGTCCCATCTAGTACTAAGGCAGACAGCGCCCTCTAGCTACAATAAATTATATTAAGTCAATATTTGTTCTCGATGCAGTATTCAGTGACAGTGTATGACACACATTTCACAACAGAATATTACTAATATCTATTCATGTGAGCTGTTCAGTGAAGGTAGATGCTTCACTACACGATCTGGAAGCGTATTCCTTGTAGGTCAAACTTACACTGTATAGATGCTCTTAATTCTAACAATAATAAAGATGGAAAAGGCTCAGTGGCATAACTCATTTATTATTGAATAAAAATTGGACATGAACACGTGCAGACTAAAAACCAGTGTAACAAATTGACAACCCTAAAATTTTTTGAAATCAACTCTGCCTCCCCTGCTGTAAAAAAAAAAGACAATTAAATTGAAGTTTAGACCCAGTTTGCTTCTTTTTTTTGAAACTGTACAACAGCTTTAGCAACATGCACCTGTCCAAAAGGAAAACAAAAAGCAAAAGTAAACTAAAACTCTCCTGCCAGTCCCTTTGTGCAAACATATTGATCTTTCCTGAATGATCACTTTTATTTTACATTTATTCATTCAACCCTTCCACTGCCAAGTTTTGCTTTTATAAATCAAAGCGTTCACATTTTGCCAGCAGACTATCAATCCATCTTTACACTGTAAATAAGTTTCCCTCTCCCCAGAGTCTGTAACTTTACATGTAAAAGCAAAGACATAAGGGTAGGCTAGAGGGATGCGAGGTGTGTATGTGTGGAGGAGGGCATCATGGGAAAATAAAAATAAAAACCTGCAGGTCCTCGACTGATGTCGCACTGTGTCGACACCTCTACTCACCGATCACTGATCACATCCAACCACGTGGAAAAAAACTGAAAAAAGGCTCTAGACTCTTAACACCTACAAACAGCACATGCTGGTAGTTACTGCAGCAGCAGGTTCCTCTGATGCACACCTTCACTCTACACCAACACAACCTCGGCCAAGCATCAGCTACAGGCGGCTGCTGTGTCAGCCGTAGTCAAAGTGATAAATGTCCCATCACCAAGGCGTGTGTGCATACAGAAGCTGTGTGTAGGAGTCAGTGCTTCCAGAGCAGCTTCCAATATCAAGCTTTAAGTTTCCCATTAGGACAAAATAAATGTTTCTACAGGTATGTGTTATTTGACTGAAGCCAACAGAAGTCCAGCTTTGAAAAATCTACATCCATACAAATTAAATACTTTCAATGATTCAGGATACAAGTGAGGAACCCAGAAACAACAGTGTTGGAGTTTGACTGATGTTACACACAAAATGAAATCAGACCTGGCGTGTTCTCCATTAGACAGCACTGTGCTGTTTGGCTTTGACTGTTTCTAATTGGTTCTTGACCAAGCCCCCTGATGTGTCTGCATCTGATGCTGCAGATATTTGGTTTACTTTCATATTAGCTGTAGTGTAACCTTTGAAGGACTTTCAGTAATAGTCTTCATTAAAGGATCAGTCACACTGATTATTTACCGACAGTTAACTTGATTCATCAGTATACAGAGAACTTGCAGGATCTAATTTTGTTTTGAGGAAACTGAAAACACTTCAGTGACTATCAGCCCCAGAGCTAGTCTGACGGGAGTGTGTGAGTGTGTGTGTGTCTCTCAGCGCCGATGACGACCATGTCCTGAGTGTCCACTACTGCTGTGGTGTTTGCTCTTGTGGCTACGCTCCCTCTCTCTTTCCCGGTCATAGGAACGAGACCTCTCCCTCTCCCTCCGGTCTCCTCTGTGACCTCCTCGTTCATGTTTGTGTTTTTTTGAAGAGAGGTCAAACGAGCTGCGTTCTCTGTCTCTCTCCCGTTCCCTCTCTCTGTCCCGTTCCCTGTCCACCTTGACAGGCGTGCGGGACCTTGACCGAGAACGCGAGCGCTTCCTCTTGTGGCCGGATCCTCCACTGTTGCTATGGCGCCCGCTAGGCTTGGAGTCACTATTGCTGTGGTGACTGGTCTTAGACTTGAGGTGGGGGAGAAGGGGTGAGGGCGGGTGCCGCCGAGGCGAAGGGCTCCGGCTGTGGGAGCGAGAACGTGAGCGAGAGCTGTAGGTCCCTGAGCAACTGCGTCTGCTGTTGTAACTGTGGAAACAGAAAGATAAGGGATTAAGCCAAGATTCACACTATCATAGATCAGTAAATTACCGTTACATATTTTAAGTGAATTTACTGTCTGCGAGGGGATCTGGATCTAGACCGGGAACGTGTTCTTGAACAAGAACGACTTCCGCTCCTGCTGTTCCTCCCGATCTTGACCTCTTTCCTTAACCTGGAAGAGAAGTATGGAAATTAGACAATACACAATATTTTGCCAGCAGTTCTCTGGAACAAATATTTTTAAACTCATTTTTCTACTAAACAATAATGATTGACTAAAATATTCTCATAATGCAATATTTTTTTACCCATTGTGTGGACTCTTGTTGACCTGGGCCCGGTTGTCTGGCTCCTTCTTTACTGGTTTGAGAGTCTGGGGATTGGGGGACTTTTCTTCTACTTTGACCACACTTGGAGAGCAGGGTTTGGACGCAGGGGAGAAGCCACCCAGTGTGGACAGTGCAGGGGTTCCATCAGGATTCAGGCCTTTGGCCTTCAGCTTAGCTTCCGCTAAAAACATCTTCCTTCTCTCCACTTCCTTCTCCAGGTGGTCATAGTTAGGCTGGGGAAAAACAAACATTGCCTGTTTACATAGAGAACAGAGTACTAGCTACTGTGAGTGAGAAGCATCACCCAGCTGTTTGTATTTGTTGTGAGAGGCAGTTTCTCTGGTAGCACACAGAACAGGAGTCTTTAACACTGAAGTTTTAAGTTTAGTGACCAATGTAAACAAAAGAAAGAAAAGGGTACCTTCTTCCTGGTGTACAGTTTCAGGGTGGTGATGCAGATGTCTTTAATCTCATCTTCACTGGCACCGAACAGTAGGTACCAATGAGGTTTGGATGGCAGAGGTATCTGGGGAAAAAATGTTGACAACAGTATGTATTATTACATGGCACTTCATTGCATAGCCATAGAGGTTTAGATGCGATAATCAGTGTTTCTGGAAGCTTCCGATTACCTGCAGAGCACGGGCAGCAAGGAATATGCAGGCACAGGCAATAGTCTCAGCTTGGAACCTCACAAATACGTTTGTCCTCAGACTGTCGTTCATGTAGTTCCTACAGAAGAGAAAACAAATACATAGCATCTTCTCTACACAAAGACTCACACATACCAACATCCTCAAGTTACTGCTGCAGGTCAACAATCAATCCAATTATTTTTCTATTTTCAAATAATCATTGCTATTTATTAATTCCTGATTAAAATGTAATCAATTCTTACGTCTACAAAAATGTTACCAACTGAGCTGTATGGTTGGTGAATTCTGAACAAGAGAGAACCTCAACTGTCACTTGAATTGTTAGTCTTAAGAAATTGGGGATCTGACCTTTAGCTACAGCAAAAGCTTTTCAAGTTACATTTTAGCCGAGATGGCTATAACGATACCATCTACACATTATATGGTTACAAGTGAAATATGCACTTGATCCATAAAGTTTAACTTTGTCCATTTCTCCCTGGGGCAGTCGTGTGAGATAGTGCTGTATGTCACAGGAAAAGAATGAAGACAGAGATGGGAAATATTCTACTGAAGACCCTTGAAGACCTTTGTACCACACAACATGACCCCAGAGGAACTACATTAGGGCTAATGATGATCAGGACAATGACATGTACCTAGTGAGGTGGGGGGACATGCAGGCATAGAGATGAACATCCATCTATAATGCAGTCGCTACATTGTCATTGTTAGATCTGGAAGAATAGGGAGGTACGATGTGTATGGTGGCAAGGAAGACAGTTTTCAGTGGCATGGTTATGTGATCATGATTCAACGGTGATCTGCTACTCTGACGACATCGCACTTGAAGTGATCCAAACAAAACTTGTGACCTTTATATTGACTGAAAGCCACCTGCAAATTATGAAACAACTTCCCATTATACCTTACAGCCATGAGGTGAAACCAACCTCCATAAGACCACTGATTCTATTTTTCCTCAACCCATTCCACTATGTTGCTTGTAAACTGATCTACAGACATTAGGATGGAAGGTGATTCTTCTCCACTGAAATCTGTGAAACGAAACAGGTTGTGCGACAGTAGGTGCTCTAGGACAATGGATACATGACATTGGCCGTCGGGAGAGCATTAGAGAAGATACAATGGCCGGGATGTGAATCAGGCAGGTACAGAGTGATGTGAGCGTCTATGTCTTTCAGAAACATAGAAGTCAAAAAGACAGAAATATGTGTGACAACAGAAACATGACCAAAACCTCAGATAAACTACCTCAACACTGTTCCCACTCAGATTTTCAAAAAGAAAAGCTAGGCAAAGCAATGAACTACAACTTTTCACAAAGCAGCACAACGTCCTTTCTGCAGGTGACACTTCTATTTGCATACACTGTAAGGGATGTCACGATATGACATTTTGGTGCCATGACTATTGTCAGGAAATATCACGTTTTTCACATTTATCGCTACTATAGAAAGAAAAAGACACCACAAGCAATATATAGCTAATAATATAGACAATGAACTAAAATATTTATCATTATCAAATATATCAGGTGTTTTTTGTTGTTGTCCTATTGTGGAAGGTTGATCATTGAATTTGTGTTTCCAGTCATCATAAGCAGTTTATCTGTATAGGACTCTTATTGTGAAGGACGAGCGACATAAATTTAACCGTTTTGGGAGTAAGGTGTTGACTAGTGAAAAATAAACTGTCCTGGTTCAAGCACACATTCTTCGTTTCCTTATTATACTATTACTCTCAGTATAGGTGAATTAAATTCTCCGCTACATGTATAATGGTTAATAGGATAGAGTGAGAGAGGGTGCGTGTCAGCTGCTGATCAGAAAACCGAGAGAAACAAGGACTTCTCTTCTCAATAAGAGTTTTTTTGGCCAGCGTTGGTGGAAATAAGGCTGTTACTAACGTTTCAGTGGCTCATGTACACAAACAATCGCACCGCACACACACACGAGACTTGCGAGAGGCACGACACCGGTTAGATAACGTTATTTTGCTATTCTCAAAGTTATGAAAACGCGGTTATTGTAAAAACGGTTAATCCCGAAATCCCTAAACTATGTGTGGTGATTACCACCCATTCAAATCACACGTACAGCTCCACTAGACGTATCTCACAAGTTAAAAAAAAACTGCCTCCGAGGGATTACTGCCAGTCTAACCTGCCTTCAATTAACAGCCAGATCTGCGCTTTAGTAGGTCATTCTGAGCTAGAGCTACGACAGATAATATGTGGCCGTTGGATTCTGACTGCTGCGTGGGCGAGACAGGTCCTTGGAGGCAAATCCTGAGGACTGGATCAGCCTGAAAGACAGACACATGTCTGAACACCACGTCAGTTGGGGGTAGGACACAGTAATACGGGTACGCTGGTCAAAAAAGTTATTCTGTTCTGGCTACGTTTACTTCATTGTTAGATGCAAGTAAACTAGAAAAAGGTCAGAATAGCTACTTGGCAAAAATAGGCATTACAGTTGAAACCTCTGTAACAAGACCAAAAAATACAAATCCTTCTGGACACCCAAGAGAAAACAAGATGATGTTGGCTGTTGGGAAAGGCCCGCCCGCCCCCTTCAGTGAATCTTGGCATTGGGATTGGCTGTCTGGAGAGGGACAACCAGCCAATAGGGGGAGCTTCCTGAGGTCATGTGGTTGGAGGAGGCAGAGTTCAGAGGTTCTTTATGTGACTTACCAGCATGGACTACCCTTTAATCAAAGAGTAGAGAGAAAGGACAAAGTTAAACCAAGTTCCCTGGGCCTCGAAAATCAAACAGACTTTTACAGCAAAGCCATGTAAGGGCAGACGAGAGTGAGACACGAAACAGGTTTGCAATAAATCAAATTGCTCCATCAGAGAAAAAGAGGCGGAAGGGTTTAAATGGAGTGAGGGGATGTCACAATCAGACCTGGGCAAAATGGATGTCGAATGGTTTTCAAGTTTGTAATTAAAAACATGCAGGGCCCTTGAAGATCACTTATCTGACGGGTGTTGTTTCCACATATGGTTTTGTCCCAAGATAAAACGAGTGCTCTTCAAGTAATTCAACCATTGAAACTCATTCAATTTCATCTTTAGCCCAGGTCTGGGGGTACTTCTTGCAGACATGACACGGGTTGCTGCTGTGGGGGATGGACAGTGGAGAAGTAGAGAGGAACTTACCAGGCCGTCTGGACCAGTGTCTGGTTCTTTTCACATTCCAGGACTTGAAGATACATGACGATAATCTGGAAAGGTAAAAAGTATATGATGTACAACAAACTGAAACATGCTGCAGGAGTGACATTGTTAGAAGATGCTAGAAACTGCTTTCTGTGTGGGTGCGTTTGCATGGAGCAACAAACTCCAACCTAAAACAACTTCACTACACATGTGAAATGCTCGAGTGTGCTTTAAACTCACCTTGTGTGGATGCTTGACATGCACACAGAAGCCCAGCTCCTTCAGGATCCTCCGCTCCGCTTTGATTACTTGGTTTTTGGTATTTATGTAGTTCTGATCAAGTATCAATGAACTTGGAGTCCTAGTTTATGAAAGGAATCAAAATAAAATAATGGTTCCCCCTTTGAAATAAATGTTAAAAAAAAAAAAAAGAAAGTGCCCTTCTGTTTTTTAATTTCTCTTCTTTTTTCCGTTTCAACCAACTTCAAGCAACAGCTTTGACTGTTTGCATGCCTGACAGTTTGCTGGGGTTTGTGAACTCCTGTGGTTCCAGTGAAAGCTTATGGGATTCTTTAGACAGGCCTCAACCTCAACCACTCCATGTCACAGCTTTAATAGAAATATCAACCTAATACATCTCTGTAGACTTGAACTGTAAACTCAGAAATCAACAACAAAATACCATGACCTATTGCCTTACTCCAACCTACAGTTAAGTCCCCAACACCACTGACTACTTATTCTGCTATCAGTGCACCAAATGTTAAAAGTTAGAAAATATGTTTGACCTGTTCTGCAAACACAATATTGTCCTACCACCAAACATCTGCCGGTTACACACAGCCCATAATTTACAATACTGAAACTACTGATAGAGATAAAATATTTTTATATCAATCATTCAAAAAACCCTCTGAGTGGATGACTAGTACCTCATGCTTTCAATAGGTGTTTGTTAACCTCCTAATGCACCATCAGTATCCTACAGTATGTGAAATTTTGGATAAATTACGAGAATAAAATGGACCTAAGAAAAAAAATGTCATCAAGTCAATTATTCTGCATCCCTCTAATCGAATTTAGCTGAGTTGAGCACCTAACTTCTGAAGGAACAACGCAAATTTATGATCTGATTCTAGAATTTGCAGGTCTTAAGTAACACAGAAATTTAAATGTCAACGCGGTCATGCTACAAACGTCATGCATGGGGAAAAAACTCAGCATTAAAGTAAAATTCATTAATAAACCTGACATGTTACAATCCAAAACCAAGTCTAAAAGATATCCTTCCTACAGGTGCACCACTAACTCTGGTATACTTTAATGCTGATCCAAACTAACTTCACATAATGCCAAACTACACAGCTACAGTGCATGCACTGATCCTAAAAAAATACAGAACCCTGACAGACTCAGTGTTAATAATATATTCTGCCTCAACAAACAAGGTGATATTTCTATAAAAGCCATGGATAGCAGTTGGTGAATGGGGTTTTGCTCTTAAAGCACAAACAAAATGCATGGTGAGGAGGAGGAGCAGTCAGAGAAGAGAACTACGTTACCCAATGGTCCGCAGATTGACGGACTGATACCCAAAGCTTAAGATTGAACCACAGGAGTCCTCAATGCGCCCCGGGCCAAGGATTTTCGGCCAACCTGTCATCCCCGATCCCAGTGGCCCGCGGTGGTTCAGACCACGGGCGTCTCCCACAGGAGGGATGGGGTGGGAGGAGATAGACCCCCTCGCATCATGGTTGTCATGCCGACTGCTTCATCTTACGTACCATTCCACATCACCCAGGCTTTGGTAAATGTAGCTGGTCGCTGTTAGTTGGTTGCAAGGGAGAAAAGAATCCAAGTTAATGCCAAGGTCGCTACTAGTGCCATGAACAAATTTCTATGAAGATAAAGGCACATGAAATTAAAGCAGCTGTGCCTTGTCTTACAAAACACTGCAGTTTATACAGTGAGATGGTCGAGATATAATTTTCAGTGTATTGTCAAACTCTGGTGTCCTATGTAGACAATTACACTTTTCAAACTACGAGTGAGGCGGAAACTGAAAAGTTTTAAAATGGTTTAGGTTACATAGATAAACAGAAGAGCACCTTCACAACAAAAAAAAACAGATCACAATTTCACATTGGATAAAAATTTTAATTAAATGCAATGCAAAAAGTATTTCCATAATGAGGCGAGTGGTTTCAACATATGTACTTACTTTTTGCATCGGATCTGCCTCAGGTGGTGAAAAACGTTGACGACATCGCGTATTCGTCGTGGCGCTTCCTCAATTTTGGAGGCCAGGTTGATACAAGCCATGGCAACAATCTGTGGAGACAGTCACAGCAAAGAGTTGGAAGAAAGAGTTCCAGGAAGTGAGACACGTGACCAAGGAATCATGGGATGCAGTATGTGATGTGACAATGTGTACAACATGAAAACAATTACAGCAGTAATCGTTAGGCAGTCATATGCCATGGGACTACAACATGGTGGAGAACACTGTAAATGTGGGAACAGGAACATTTTGTAACAATGCTGACTTGATCCTAGAGGTGGTTTTAAGCCTGAACACTATAAAACCAATAACTATTAAGCAATTTTGTTGACGTTTGCTTATCTCAGAAAAGGCTGAGCCAAAGAAAATAACACTATAGCTTTTAGTTTGTTATTAGAAACGTTACCTACATAAGATATTACCAATAGTTAGCAAACCACTATTTAGAGCCGGAACATAACCAATATCGTTAGTTATGAGCAGATTAACAGCTATTGAACACGAATTGCTTTTAATTGCCGCCTTTTCTTTCGTATTCCATATCCATTGTGTTCCCTGCTTTACCGAAAGTTGTTCAAACAACTGTTTGCCTGCATTCTCCAGCTAAAGTCTTCCAGACTTTCCCTCCGGTAACAAATATGTTTTGGGATTGAAATTAGAAATTGAGCTCTGGGGCGACGTATCGACAACATGGCCGCCACAAACGCAACCACAACGTTATGCTATGCTAACATAAGAACAAGCAACGGCCTAACAATAACCCGCTGACTCGGGAGCACTCACCTCGAAACTGTGCTTCACGAAGGACTTGGAGTAGAAAAACCGATGGAACAGCACCTGTGCGGTCGCCATCGCCACCTGAGGAGGAAATAAGGTAGATCGATATTGCCCTGTTTATCATTTGGCTCGTGAGAGCTAGCTCAACCTTGCACAATGGCCGGCCGCCATTTTAATTCCACCACGCCAACGTCCAGAAGCTAAGGCTACAACAAGCTAACAACCAGGCCGAGGCGGGCGGAGGACTAAAAGCAAACTACTCATATCTACATGTCGTGGATAAAACACAAACCAGCGTGTTCTTTATTTTACACTTTCACTATTTACGGGTTTTTACCTGGGGCAGCCGGAGAAGAATGCCCGCCGACTGGATCAGCTCACAACCGAGGATGCGAAGGTCGGTCTCGGTGTTCAAGTCAAGGCCGTCGAGCATCGACGGTGTCGGGGAGAGTCTCTCCTCCGGAATGAGCGAGTTGTCGATGGTGAGGTAAACCTCGGAGTAAACTTTGTCACCGATGAGGATGCCATCGTTGTTAGTGGACGCGTTGGAAGATACTGAGAGGGGACCCGCAGCCATCTTCGCCCGAGAAAACACAGCAGCGCTCAGCCTGTTGCCTCGACGGAAGGACGGTGGAGCACAAAGTCTGACGTCACCCCCACCGTGCCCTAAAGCTCTGTGCACATCCGCGGTAGTAGAATAGTTCCACAGTAGTGCGCTACACTTCTCTTTGTTTCTAAACATGCTTCCTCCGCGTAGCCTCGCGTTTGCACCTTCCATTTTATTAAATATGATATGACCCTTAAACACGGGCTAGCTACAGACTATTTAGCACCTCAATAAGAAGTCATTTATTAGTCCCGCAATGGGGAAAACATTTAAGGTAAAGACAGCAGATCAAAGACATATCAAAGGAGAATCCATTCCAACAGTGTCTGTGAATTCTGTTACATTTCCTACTTCTTCTAAAGTAGCAGGCGGAAGCGACTCACCGCCAATGCTTTCTGTGACGTATTTTACGGGAAAGTCCGGGCATCTCACCGTTACGTGTGGAACATATCCATCCGCCAATTTAAAAAAAAAGTGAAGAAGAGAAAATGACACTTATTAAAACTCAGCAGATTTTAATTAAGGAACCGGTGTTTGAAAGTTGAATTTGCAAACCACAAATATCTACTTATTAATGTTGTGTAATCAATTCAATGTACACCAATCAAAGAAGGAAGAGCAGGTCAAAATGGTTGAATACAAATGACAAAGTTAATTTAAGACTGTGCTGAAGAAGGTGCAGCTCCATGAGAACAGTTGGAACAAAGAACATTTTGTTCAGTCACTGTCGGCGCCAGGATTTTACAGCCTGAAGCCTTGCAATAACTAAAGATGGCCGTCAGAGGGAACCAGACACCCAGCATATGGGCGCTTCTGAAAATGTGGAACCCTCACTGAGGCTGTGGGTTTTCATCATTGACCTTGTACAAAGACCTGATGATGCAGAACAGTTAACTGCAACGTGTGATTACAGTTTTACTGCCAACAGTGTTATACTGCTGCAGTGTGTGTCTGTGAATGTTCCTGTTATCTATATCTTCACATTCCGATGATTTGCTGTCTTGGTAGTTTTTTGTGCTGTATAAATGTATTTATACACTGATATATATGGTGGCCGAAAGAGCTCAACACACGCAAACAGAAAAAACGTGTGCAAATTAAGAAAACAACGTCACTAATTTGATGACACATGCACTGCAAAATGTCACAACACAGAAACGCGTTGCAAAAAAGGAAAATGTTTCCAGGGGACCCCAAAAAAAAAGATCTGTAGTCGCTATATGCAGCGTGTTTCTCCATTTGCATCTATTGAGACTCTTTGCAGTGTATGTGTTATGTGTCAAATTGATGAAGTAGTTTTTTCTATTTGCATGTGTTTTCTTAATTTGCAGTGAGTTGAGCTCTCTAGGCCACTGTATGTATAACCCTTTTCCAGTCTCATTACTACTCAACGCACTAAACACTTCAATCCACTGAGTTATTCACACATAGTGCTTCCATATGCTGCTCTTTTTCTATCACACACCATTCACAAACTGCCGGCTCAACTGTTTTGCTCAGTATTTCACAGAAGGAGACTTTCACATGTGGACTGGAGGATCAAACCGCTGACCTTCTGGTCAAGTAATTTGGTATTTGCTGATTTAATTAAGTGCAAAGCTGATGAGGAACTTGCACCACCAAAGTTAAATATCTGTGGCTATACCCAAGCTTGAGCCCCTAGAGGACCCCCAAAGAATCCAGTTTTAAAGGAGACATTTGATGCTTTTTTCAGTTTTCCGTTTCTCTATAGTATTTTTTAGATTTTGGTGTATGTTAAAAAATCAAAGTTCAAGATCAAAGTTCCAAATTCTGCAGTAAAGGGAGCTCCTCTCCCCCACAGAAAATACATCTTCTGAAACATCTTCTGAGTACGGATACTTCTACATGTGCATAATGCCTGGCGACTAGTCTGGCACGTACCCTAACAAAGTCAGGGAACTCATGGAGGGAGGAAATGGGGGCGTCAGTAGGAGACCAAGAGCAAATTATTGTCCCGGATCCCACTCACAGTTTAATCCAGTCATGGTTGGTTGTTTCCTGAGGTTATATGTATTTGCATGTGTGCGTCTGAAGATATTATAAGCAATAGGTGTAATCATGCAAACATAGCACGGAGGTCTATTTTCATAAGCTGTTTGAGGCTCTATGAGGCTGTGAGGGGCATTAATACACCACATGAGGTGGCAGACTGAGGTCTCATTGTCCCTGTCATTAGCCAACACCTACCACCAGCACCTCTGGCCCCCTGCACTTACGCAGTTACCACTACGACAAGAATGCTGAGCATTCTTTCTCCAGTTGCCTGGGTGATAGTAATTATAGGGTGTGGGAGGGCCCACAGCACGGAAGAATTCCGGAACGACCATAACGACGCAGGAGAGAGGCGTTTGGGGACGCCCAGTGACGAACAAGGGCTTAGTTATACACACACGCCACTCCCTGGAGTGTGTGCGTGTTTACGAGCAACTTGCACAGATTCCCCAGGGACACGTGTGCATGCCTGCCCTGCTATGATAATTACTGTAAGGAGATCACGCTCCAAATGTGTGTGTGCATGGCATGGATGTGAGCAAATATGAATGTTTGTGTGCGGGGGACATTTGTCAAGCGTGAGTAAATCTGAATGTTTAGGAGTGATCTAAACATCCCCCATCATTCCAGTGTATTGGGACTTTGTGCCTGTTATGCACATTTCAAGTTGTATGAAGTGTTTCAAGGAGTTGTATCTGTTCACGGCAGATCTCTCTCATGCAGACATCCCAAGGCTCTTTCTCTCACACACTCTTACTCTCACACACATACACACATACACACAGGAAGGACACCAGATCAAGGGCTACAAAGTGAGGGCACTAGCAAAAGAAAAAAATCCCAGTAAAAAGAGCAGAGGGGTGTAGAAAAGCGAGTGATGACTGCATCAAAAATAAAGTGAAGGCACAGATAGCTGAGGAGGAGCGACCGAGAGGGAATTGCATTTTAGCAACAGGGTCAGAGGGGTTGAACACCAGAAGAAGGCCAAAGAGATTAAACGAATATTGACACAGAGACAGATTTATGTGCCTGTGTATGTGATAGGGATACAGCAAGAGAGAGACAGAGTGAAAGAGCGAGAGAGAGTGGTCGGAGCAGGGAGAGGGTGTGTCAGAGATGGGGAAGAGTGTGTGTCACGGGATAGAGCAGGAGCAGGGACAGTGAGTTAACGCCTCTGGGTGGCAGAGAAAGAAGTTATCTCTTTGTATACACGGCAGATGTGCAGGTCACGGTGGAAAGGAAGTGTAACAGGGATAAAAAGCAAAGGTCGAAGGTCAGAAGAGCATCTGGAGCAGGGACAATGTGAGCAGTTGTAAAAAAAAAAGGCAGATGCATGCGTCTGGAACCGACCTGTTTTTTCCACAGACATTTGAAAAGCAGGGAGGTGTGAATAATCCCACTGGGTGTCCCAGTAAAGCCACATCAGTGAGCCGGCACAAGACCAGAGGCCTGGAGCTGCATCACCTAAATGAAATGCAGCCATCCTGCATGTTATTATTTCCACCTGTGCCTCCACTTGCTGCGAGTGTGGGTTGGCACTTTTTTTTTGCTGTATTCCAAGTCAAACTTTAAAGCCAACGTTGACGAGAAGTGCTCAGAATAATGGAAAGTTTAAAAACCACAAAAACGATGAAGACCATGGGATGTTCTGCCCGCTGCTGATTCTCGATGGTGGTGAATGAATGAACAAACGGGGTATTGCCCTCTTGTGGAGTGGCATACTGATGATTAAAAAAGAAACTCACAGTGCCTCCAAGTATCTTTTAAGTTTGAAGTCAGATTTTTGCTCCTGAGGGAAGGTCGTTGTTTTAAGCTCAGATTTATGAGCAGAGAACACTTGACAAACAGGGAAGATCAATTATGTTATACCTCACTGTGCTTACACGATGTATAAAAAATATATGATATATTAGACGTTTGTCATATTGCTATTGATTGAAATTACATTGTGATAGTTATTAATATTGTTTTATTCCCCAGCCCTACTGTCAAGTGTTCTTGTTAAATAATAATTGGTGTGATGAAATAACAAACATGCATTACCATTAACAATTACCACCCCAAGACTGGGTCACTATAGTGGACATCCTTACAAGTGATGTCTTCCCCTTGGACACATACGGGCAAACACTCTACATTGTGATGCTGACCACACAATCGATGTCCTTCACTGGCATTACATGATTACAAAAAGCAAGCAGGGATGTTTTTAGGCCAGAAACAATCACTCACAGGTGACACACACACACGCACACGCACATGCACGCACACACACACACACACACACACACACACACACACACAAACAGGGCAAAGTGTCGTGCAATGAATAAACAGACACAAGGTCACACACCAGCACACACTCAAACACAGGAAGGCAACAAAATGTCAGCTGCAAAATAAATGTTAACATTACGGCATACTGTAAATCACATTGAGGGAATATGTACGGTTTATTTTTATAAAGTGATTCACTCTGTCTTTAAGTTTAAAAACAGTTGAAGATTCACTCAAAATCTCAATGAAATAACGATCACACAGCATCTGAGAGATTTTTCTGGAGTAATTAAGATTTATTCAAAAATTGTGTAAATGTTATGCAACAAACGTTATTAATGAAATTTTAAAAGCTCAATTAACTGCTTTATCAGCCAAGCAAGTTAAGACAAAAACACAAATTAGTTTATGTGTGATGGAAAACTTCTCATTTCCCCATCTGGCAAAAACAGAGGAGGTAGAAAATTAGGTTTCAATGGCACATAATGTTCATTGTTCTGCATTACGGCATGTCCTCTCCCCACAGACGGAGGTTTGCAGCAGATAAACCATATGTGTGTGTTTTGGCAAACAGAAAACTTTGGCGGAATAAAATCATTACCTCCAACTTTTACAGCATGAAGGAAGGGCATTGTTTGCAGGCAGATTAGAAGAGAGGAAGTTAAACCAAAAGCTTTCCATGTGTGCCAGTAAGTGGGGAAATCAGTAACATGTCACACACACACACTCTCACACACTCTTCACGCTTTTCTCCCATCATGCCAATTCATCCCAAATGTTGAGGGAGAGGAAGAGGGAGGGATGGAAAGACCTTGCACGGAGTGAATGATGTCAATAACACACAATGTCTGAGGGGAGAGGGCTGGGTAATTGTTGTGTGTCTATGTGTGTGTGTGTGTGTTTCAGGGGGGTGCACTTGCAGCCTTACAGTTTCTTTTGTGTTTGCCTGCCTTTTGTTTGTGTCCATGGGTGGCAAGGGACATGCTGTCATGCTCCTTCAGCGCTGCCCTTGTGACAGACTGTGTGTTTGCATGTGTCTGTGTGTTCATGTCTGTGTGCGTATATACTTTGTGCGTGCTCGGGTGTTTGTCTGTGAAATCCTGTGCGTGCCAGTGAGACTGCGTGAGGTGGGTTGTGAGAAAACAAGTGCATGTCTGTCGGAGAGTCTGCGTCCTGGGAGTTTGCTGGTTGTACGAACAGGGCTCAGCAGTTGTGCCTGTTGTATCAAGTGTGTGCCAATGCGCACATATGTATATGCACTTTTAGAGTACGGCAACCAGAGGGACATTTGTCGAAAAACATATATTATGTATAAAAAATAAATAATACAATTAACACTAAAATACTATTTTGAAAACAACCCTAAAATAATGTTTATTCTGCTGATTTTTTTGCTTGTTCCAGTCTCTCCTTCCTCCACATCACTAAAGTCACCTTACTCTTGCCTTCACTCACTGTGCTGCTTGCTTTCAGTCGGGGTAGTGTCCCCTCTTGCTGTTTCTCTTCACCTGACAACCCACCACCATTCCAGACCTCCACACTCTTCCCTGGTCCTCCCTTATCTGTGCTGCCTCTGCCTTTGTCTGTGCGGGCAGGGGAGGGTCGGAGTGTGTTTGGGGAGGTCGAAGAGCGGGTAAGAGGAACCCGAGCTTGACTCTGGAGGTGGAAATGCTTGTTCCCTGGGGGTGCGTGTCTCTCTGTGGGGTTTGGAGGAGACCTGGTGGAGGCCTGATGGGACGCAGGGGAGCGCAGACCAAGGAGCTCCACCTGAGCTGTAGACAGAGCAGCAGTCAGCTCTTCCCTCTCCTGACACTCCCTCCTCACTGTCTCTTGGAGTAATGTCACCTGGAGGGAGTACGAGGAGAAAGAGAAGAAATACATTAAACTTCTCTTTTGTTGCAAACACACCTCGTACTTCCATCCTGGTCAGGGCACTCATTGAAACAAAGCATTCCCTGGTTCCTTGCCCTCACCAAAATCTAATTATAACCCTAAGGTCTGGGCTCACAAACATACATGTACAAGTGCACGAGCGCACACACACAAACATACACCAACAGATCAATACAACTTATAAGGAAGAGGATGACAGACAGTCGGGGTTGAAGTAGATAGAAACACTGAAGACACACACACACCAGCAACCCCTGTTTAAGCCAACACAGTCACCACGATCCACTATTTATAACATTGCCAGCACTGTATCATGAAAAAAGGTGTAAAAATCAAGAATGAATACATGAAGCTAACAATTCAAACTGAGCGCTAAACATAAGGTACATCTGCAGTTTGACATGAAACAGTTTTGATCAGACTTGACCGTGGGAGAACAGTTAGTTTATCTTCAAGCCACCTGAGAAATAAAACCTATTCCACTAAATCAAGTTTAATTAAAGTAATCAGAACCAATCCAGAATTAAAAATAAATAACTCCTCTCACTAAGGCCCTTCATAGCTTTTTCATGACTTCTCATCCATGTTCTACTAATATGGCGCACAGCCATAAATACTGCTCACTGGCTCATTTAATTACAAACACATGCCTTTTGCACGGTTGACGTTATTACAACCATGTGCTGTTTGATAACACACATATGTTGTATGCATCCCCAAATGTTTGGATGACAAATTCAAAAACTAGAATTTAACTTTATTAAGCTTTATAAAAGATTCTGACAGATTCAGAGTGTTCAGCTTCAATAAGGGCTTCACTGCATTCTAATTCTATCATATTTATAGAGAAGAGAGGCAGATTGGAAAAATGCATTTAACTTAGCAGCAAAACTGAGAAAGTTGAATTGATAATTGTCGTGTTTTATTCTCAATCAATGTAACGTCTCATTTGTAAGATAAGAAGGTTCCTGGTTCGAATCCCATTTCGGCCGGGGTCTTTCTTTGTGGAGTTTCCATGATCTGTCTCATTCTGTGTGGGTTTTCTACGAGTACTGTGGGTTCTTCCCAAAGACATGCAGCTTAGGTATAAGATGTTGAATGTGACTGTGAATGGTTGATCCACTTGTTGTCAGAAGATGTTGTTTGTTAGACAAAGCTGATTAAACACGGAACAGTCTGTGACGATTAGTCAGCTTCCAACAATCAAGTTTATTGATATAGCACATTTAGAAACAACCGCAGTTAAATTAAGTGCGGTAGAATAAAAGAAGACACAATGCAAAATACAAAAAAATAAAAATAACAAAGACCAGCATAAAACAAAATGAAATCAAATGCTATGAGACGGATAAAAGCAACTTAAATACACACCTTTTTTTAACTAGCCAGACTAATGAAGGCATCTGTTTCATCAGTAATTTGCTCCTTGTCTGACATAAGTCTCTGTTCACTGGCATGTAGAATGATTATACGCTCAGGGAGGACCCACAACCATGTTTCCTTAATGTGAGTTGTGTTTTGGAAGGTTGTGTGTGTACATTGATCTCACTACTGCCAGGTTCTAAAAAACTGCATGCACATTGTTACCACTTGACTTGTGGGTGTGTGTATGTTTGAGAGAAATCCCCAGTAATTTACGACATACAGCACATGTGCTCTTGCTTTTTTCAGTTATGATTTGTGTATGGTTTTCCTTATGTGCGTCTGTAATTGTCAAAACATCTGTATGTTTTAATAGGGGCCTATACGCCATCCATTCCATGTGGAGTGTGTCACGCCTCATGCCATTGTATGCAATTATTGTGTGTGTGTGTGTGTGTGTGTGTTGCCCATGTGTTTGGCCAATTTACATTCTATATGAGTGTGTAGGAAAGACTTGGAGAGGGAGTCTCCTTCCTGCCAGTTTTTATGCAGGCATGTGTTAGATCCTATGTGAGTCTCTGTGTATGTGTTTGTGCATGTGTGCGTTGTCGTGAGAGAAACAGTCATCATTAGGGGCTCCTAGTGAGAGCAGGATTACAGGGCTATAAGATGGAAGTCACACGCAGACGTACACAGGCCCTACTTTTAGTCTAACACTGTAAACCACAGTCAACTGGCAACACACACACACATAGAAACTATATGCACATGTCCAAACTTGAATTAACATACAGTACATGTATGTAGAGATGCTTATAGACTTGCATTTAAAGGGACGCAGCAGAGCAAAATGAAAGGAACACACACACACACACACACACACACACTAGCATTAATATATGACCTTGTGTGAGTGTTGTGTGCATTGTGCGACCTCAGAGCTTAGCAGGAGGTTAAAGGTCAGGCGTCTTTTCCCCCAGACGCAGTGACCTTTTCCTCTTGTCCCGCTTCATCTGCAACAAAGCCAGAGAGTGAGGGAAGAAGGGGGAGGGAGTCAAGACGAGACAGGGAGAGGGGAAAAAAGCAACAGAGATAAGGAGAGAGGGAGGGACAGACAAGGAGAGAACATAAAGGACGAGAGACAGCGAGAAAGATTTTGGATGGGGCAGAGAGAAAAAAACAAAAAAGCACTCAGGGAGACATTCAGAATGAATGGGGCACTACCATTCATTGGATTCATTGTGTGTGTGTGTTCAATAATCTCCAAGTTAATCTCCACAAAGTATTTTGGCTTTAGATACACCTGATATAAGATTACCATTTGAAGGTAATGTTGGGAGACACTGCAGAAAAAAAATTAAAAATTAAAAAATGTTTTTAACATATATCTCAAGAACAAAATATTTTCTCAGTTTCCATTTTTGACTTGATTTTATTGTTGCTTTGTCGTCCTGAAACCTAACTGGAAATTATTTAATGCTGCAACAGTATCCTGGCAACAGAGCGTTATCACAAGGTCATGATCAAAACCCGATTATCTCAGACCAACACACACACACACAAATCAATAAAACTTTTATAAAGAAGAGAATGAATTAGATAAGAAGAGATAGTAAGAGACAGAAATGAAGAACAAGAAAGAAAGAAAGATAATCTAAAGGGATTATACTGATTAATCTCCTCTCAAACTACAGACGCAGCACAGTAAAGAAAATGACCTCTTTAAATGAGTTGAAAAAGAAAAGACGGTGAAGAGCGGTGGGGGAGGGGGGTGCCATGTTGAAGGTCCATGAATGACATAAAAGAGCATGTCAGCTGTGAAATTGGCATCAGGGCACCTTGAACTGGTCGAACCTTCCTGGACAGATACTCTGAGGCGGTTAAAGAGACAGAGTGTGGACAAAAAGGAAGGCCTGTCTGACCGCAGTGGTACAACACTGGGCTGGATAAGAGAGAGGGAGGGGGAGGAGGAGGAGGAGGAGGAGGAAGAGGAGGTGATTGAGTGATGTGAAGAAGATGGTAGGCAATGATGTGACTCAGTGACCTTTTCTAGCCTCTGAATTATTCTCATCTCTCATCTCGGTCGAGTTGACTTTGCTGTTGTACTGATTGACTTGTGTATTGACAAAACATCCACCTCCCCCAAGATTTCAGATTTAAAATTAATATTTTAAATCAAGCTAAACTGTCCGCTGATATCTTCCTACGAGGTGCATTCACGGACCCTCGGACACACTACGTCCGAAGCAAATTTGAATGTTGTAGCTTGCGGACACTTGGATGACACCACACGAGCAGTATGGAGGCATGTTGTGTTTTTTCTGTTTGAACTTTCAACAGATGTTTTACTGTCTGCCACTTGCAAATGAACATGTTTCTCTCAAACCTGTGTTTTTTGACAAATGATTTTTACAATTTAAAGCTGCAACAATGAACACAGATCAAATAACTTATTGTAATATGAAAAGTGACATAAACATTGTTTGCTTCCTATCTAGCTTTGGAGCAACTGGCAGCTAAACAGCAACGCATTTGGTGGAGAACAAAATTGAGCTAAAAGACAAACGACTATTAGAGTAACAATTAAGAAACATGACTGAAACACGACTGAAATTAAAACTAATTTTGTTCTGGGTCAGAACAGAATTTTTTTTTCACATTTTTTGTTCACAGTGTTCGGATGGAAATACTCAGCCATGGCGTTGACAGCATATTTCACTCAAAATATCGAATTTATCAAATAAAACATTTCAGGTTTCAACTTGCTGCAATAATCGCATCTATAAAACGCATATATAATTAAATATAATATAAAACATATAATACCTCATTAAGTAATACACATTCATTTATTCACATTCATTGGTAAAGTCACTCATCACTGTGATGCTGCCCTTCCTGCTCCAATTTTAGTCTTGCTCAGAAAAATTTGCATCCATACTCTATTTCATTGACTCCCACACACACACATGCACACACTGAGCCTCCTTTCCATTGCTTCCTTCCTCCAGTCTCTTCAAATGTACACTCCATCCTGCTTCTCTGTGCACTGCCTCCTTCTTTTCACATTTTGTTCACACTTTAATTCATCTCCATTTGCATGGTGCGGCCACAGAAATCTACCACTCTGCTGCCAAACCAAATATGAACTCTGTCTCTCTTGTGTCTCTCTCCCCTTTTCTCTCCATCTCAAACTTGCTCACTCGCTTCCATCTGCAGCGACCACACTCACACAAACACAAACACACAACTACTAAATTTAATCCAGCTCTGCTTGAATAGCGCTGGCACGGAAACACACCAGTAGAATATGTGAAGCAAATGCAAATCTCTCCCTGTTCCATCTTTCACAGTGACAAAGTTCTCTGTCTTTCTGATTCTGGTTAGGACAAACTAGACACACACACATACATGCACACACACCTCTTCCAGTAGTTCAGCATTCCTCTTATTTGTCAGTTTAAGTTCACTCAGCTGTAGCGCCTCCTGCTGTTGAGAGAGCTGAAGCTGCTGATGTATCTCCTTGTCTCTCCTCCTCCTCTGTTCATCTTGTGTCCTCCTCTCCTCCTCCCTGCTTCTCCTCTCTTGCTGCAGCTCCTCTTTTAATCCTCCCAGCTCCTGCTCTCTCTGCTTCAACTGGAGAAGAAGAACAGAAGAAAACATTTCTGGATGTTTACACATTTGATTTAATGATGGAACTATTTATGTGTTTTTCCAAAGCTGTGAAATGTTTTGAAACTTTCATAAATGTATTAATTCCTAAAGTCGCAATATCCTAAATACCACCAGGAATTATGCTTTATGACTTTCTATTTTTACAGTGAATTTTGCAAAATTGCTCAGACCTGAAGTCTGCATCATATTCGGTTTGTAACATGTTTCCTGTTACCTCATCTACATTTCATACAGAAACCCTGCGGTAGTCATGCAGTGCCAAACTCTGAGAATGAATCTCAATTGTGTGGAAATTCATTAACCATCCCAAACCCTTGTGAAGTCTGTTGATATGTTCTTGTGTTTTGGCTGTTACTCATGTCGTTAACGATTATACTGTGGGTGGATATATATTTCAGGGTGTGGATACCAGCAGGAAACCTTTTCACCTAATGCGTCATTATTTTCTGTTGTCTCATCCCTACTGTCTGGATCTTAAGTCAACTTCTCTCCGTCTAACTTCCTTCTTTATGACCTCAATACAAACAGAGACAAACCATAGCATCATCCGCACTGTCTGCAGGCATGTGTTTCTTTTCAGCTTGGGAAAATACAGACACGAATGCAGACTAATCAGACAAGTATTACACACAGAAACTAAACTCATCATCACAGAGAGATGATGGACAGGTTAAGAGATAAGTTGTGTTCAGACATAAACTCCGGAAAATGTTCTCAAAAAAGGCAGCAGGACATTGTGCTGGTCAGACACGTTCACAACAAGTGGAACATTTCCGGGACATTCAGGGGAAGGGTTGTGCCTGGGTAGAGGAGGCAGGCGGAAGGACATCACTGGAAATCACTTGCAGAACATCGACAACGGCATCAGCCCTTATCGCCAAAAACCATCTTTATCTGCCTCTTCTATGAGTCTGGCACCTTTTTTTCATATTGAGATATTTGTATTCTTCCAGTTCTGTGTCCGTTATTTTTTTAAAACTTCATCAACACACCCATTCGCTCAATGCAAGTTTTCTGAAATTGGCTAACCCAGACATTTTCTGGACATTTTACACAGAGGCTGACAGGAAAGGTACTGGAAAATGTCACAGATGACTTATTCGGATATTGCGTTCTCACATTCAGCCCCTCCAGATAATTTCAGGAAAATGTCTGGAGTTCAGTGCATTTCCTGAAGTAGCTATAGAGAACTTGGAAGTGTGACAGACAAATAAAATGACTATACTAATAGGTATGGACCTTCTGCTGAAGCTGCGTGCTGTCTCGTTGGTAATGGAGAAGTAGCAGTTGGTTCTTCTCCCTGTCGATGGTCAGCTCCAGCTCCACCTCCCTGCGAAACTCCTCCATCTGCTCCCTCAGCTGCAATGCACTCTGGGTTCTCTGCTCTTCCATGGTATCTACCAGCTACAGAATAAAATATGAAGAAAAAGATACATTAACATGTGCATTCATTCTCACACACAATACTGACAATGTAATCACACGCGTATAGTCTTGCTTTTTAAACACAGAGTCTTTGTCCTTGAGAATAAAGCAATAAAAATTACACTTTTCATCATCAGAAACATTTTTGTTTATATGGTTTGTAAACTCAAAGCAGAAGTTCAGTCAGGCACACAATCTAAGGTCTGTCTCTAATTTTGAATCCTAAAAGAAGTGAGGTGCTGATTTCTTCATGATATAAACAGGAAGGAGGAAGGTCACAAAGGTTTGTGTAACATGAAGTGCTGAGAAACACAGGAGGAGACAGCAGCAGTGTTTCAAACCTCCTGATACAAAACACTCATACGGCCTGAAAATGTCAACAATGAAAACCTGTTCCGTAGATTCAGCATTGCTCTCTTTCCCTTTTAAAACACATCAGTGCCTCTGCAAACAAATTTTATCTCAGAAGAAATGCTGTCCTGCTCACATTTGACAAATGTGTTAATGTTCTGTGTTGCATGTCATTGTTGGTGTGAGCTCCAAATACAAACAAAAGCCTTAACACTCTTAATGATATATGAGTTGTTTATGTGACGCTTTATCAGAGTAGGACAATGACAGCGGTGCGACTGGACTTGTCATCACACTCTGGCGGTCAAAAATCGAATTGTTGGGTAAATAAATCACCAGTGTTGTCTCTTATAAGATTGAGGCTGCTTGTGACATACTTTTATTCAGGCTTGGCCAGGGCCACCTTGTTTTCTTTCCACTAGCAAAACACATCCGACAAACTGACAGTTAGTGCCATGGGCTGGGATGATTGTGGCTGTGTATGTGTTTATCTCTGTGCTTCTGTGTGTTTGTGCATTTATGCATGCAAGTGTAGAAAAAGAGAAATAATGGGTGTGGGTGTCAGAGGAAAAAAAACAGAATGGCGTGTGAAAATGTGTGTATTTGTGCCTGTTTGTGGGGGTTTGGTGTCACTGTATGGAGGCACTGTATGAGACTAAGATTGCGTGCGTTGGTTCAAATGAGAGAAAACACAACTTCCTCTTCGCAGCATGAATGTACGCGTGAGGAGCTTGGGTGGTGCGTGTGTGTGTACGAACACAGCTGCCATTTATATTTGAAAAGTGTATGAGAGTGACCACTTCCTTTCTATGTGTATGAGTCAGGAAGCCCAGACTGAACAATAACCTGTATGGATGTGTGTCTGGAAAACGTCCCAGTGCATACATCAGTCTGTAGTACTTGCTTTATTGTGTGTGCTCATCTGTCATACAGCATGTACTGTGAGTATATTACAGCATGTTTGGTACTTGTTTGGACCCAGAATATACTAGAATAGAGTAGAGTGACAAAAATGCTTGATGACACGGTGGGTTTGTGAGATAAATCATGTAAATAGGGTTAAAGTTAAATGTGTTTTTGCAGAACTGGGTCAGTGGTTAAGATCAAGTGCATGTCACATAAAAACACAATGCTCAAACAGAACTGAAGTAGACAGGTTTTATGCTCAGCTTTAGAGTTATATACTGTAGTGATAGCTTGTGCCTACTAGTATCACAGATTCATGACACTGTAGTGTGCATAATTTAAAAAACCTCAATTAATTATTGAGGGTACATCAACTGAAAATACTTGAAGACAGAGTAGTCTTATTTCTTAAGTATCATCTAATTCCACAAACGTACCTGGAACAAGAACCGTTCATCCGATCGGCTTCACACGGCATTTGTATTGTAAATTGGTGGAGAAAGTGCCGTCCCGGTTTTGTGTGATTTGTACAAGCAATACGTTCAATACTGTACTGTAGAAGCCAGTGGGGGCGGCACAGTGTGTCTTTAGTCTGTGGACCGAGTTGAACGTGTGTTCTTCTAAGTCCTCAGATAAACTGGGGACGGTTGCCGTTTGATTCTTCATTCATTACAATATTGAATTATATTTATTTTCGCCATATCGGACTGACACAGACATTTACAGTGTCGTGGGTGCTGATCTCCGTCATGGCAGCAAACATTCATATCATCACTTCCTCGTCAGCACAAACAAAACAATAAAGAATGAGACAAAAGTGATTTCATTCGAATTATTTTTCTGTTGAAATCTTTCTGTTGAAACAAAATCCATGTGACTCTTGTCGCCAGACAGTCAGAGACAGTACCACACTGACTCATAAAAGACAGCTTGGTTTTCTGACTGTGTGTGTGTCTGTGTGTGTATTTAGTTTATCTGCTGTTAACTGTAAACTGTAAACTGGTGGTTTTGGAGCCTCATAATCTTATCCACATTGTGTGAGTCGGGATCCTCCCAGTTAAACTCCTCTGAACTATGACAATGGTTTGGATTCTGTCCTACGAGTCTGTTTACATCAACACACTGGAACTAAACATCGTAAACCGATACCCCACAGTCACTTAGCTTGAGTGGTGTTTTGATTTGTTTGAGTTCATTATGCATAATTAAAGCATGACGTCTACAGACTGTATAGCAGAAAGCCAGCAGATGATGCTGATAAGACTTTAGGTTAATTATTAAGATAGCTGGTTATGTTTTTTTGTAGCCAATCCAAGTCCTTCACTGAATTAGAGTCTGGGCCAGTATTTATTTAATTATACTTGTCGGAATATCTTTCTTTATAATTTAGCTGTAAAGTATCAATGCTGTAATGCTGGACAAAATCAAAAGAAGTCTGGAATTTAAATACGTGGGACATTTATTTAAAACCTCCACCACGGCCCAACATTCCCCTTGAAATCAATCAAGAGTCAACAGATTGCACACATTCATAGATATCAGTCCCCTAAAATGATATTTTCATCATGTATAATTATGTCAATCTCTCTATGTTAAAGGTTCTTTCTTGGCGCATGTTGCATCCTTCCACCAAGTTCGTGGATACTTTTAGTAGTCTTTGCATAATCTTGGTAAATAAAGCGTTGGAATAGATCAAGCAACCTGTTAATAGTATAAACTGACCAGCTTGGGGGCATACTCAGAGGTTTTTATTGTTGTTATTACCAGTTATATTCTGATTAGTGGTAATAATGTTCACGTTAATATTGGTGAAGAATTACCTCTGAAGCCAGTTGCTGCCTGCAGTCGTCCTCCATCTTTTCCAGGGCTCTGCTATGGGAGTCTATCAATATGTCTCTGTAAACACAAGGGAACCTTTGTGAATACTAGGGGCGCAAACACTGAAGCATTCATTCATTCGGATCTGTTTTGTAATGAAAATAATGTGCTGTGCCCCAAACTTCAATGTTTATCTCTTTATCTTAATAAATCTGACAACATCAAACTTCCCCTGTGTAGTGGGAAGATAAACGGAGCATCGTGTCAACAGCAGGATCTGAAACCATGTTTAAAAAGCAACTGCCCTCGGGCTGAATAAGTCACTCCTTTCCTTTACAGCAGAGGCAAACACTCCTCCATCTGTCTCTAAAATCATAAGCTCTCTGCTGTAAATGCCTTAAGATTGGTCCATATGAGACCAACTAGCATTTGCAGTCACTGGCTGCTTTGGCTTCTGGAGTAAACGAAGGGACCCAAGCACAGGATGAGAGGAAATGCAGAAAAAAACCATCACTATATTCTGATGCCAAATTAAAAATCAGAGAAACACACAAAAATGCAGCAGTGACACAGACAGATATGAAATTTTAGCATCAGATGAGACACATGAGATCGCCTTTAACCATTTCAACTGTGCAGCACTTTCTGCAGTTGAATAGATAAGTGAGTGCGCCAACATCACGTCACATCGATATCTGTCACGATCTAAAAAGCTCTGATAATATTTACACATGCTTCTCTTTTGATGATCCTGTCAGGATGCCAGGTTGCATAACGAATATTTAACAAGAAAACTCCCAGCAGTCCCTTGGGAAGCAGAGAGGCGGGTGAGGAAGGAACAGGAAACATCTGAGACGGTGAGAAAGGAAGAGCGTAAAGAAGAAGGGAGAAAGTAAGAAAGAGAAGTTGGCATAGAGATAGCTAGGGGGGGAATATTTCATTGGTTTGTTGATCTGTCAAAATATAAAATTTCATTTCAGCAGCTGGTCTGACTGATAAGATGTGAAGGATGAAATAAAACTATGTTCAGTTGGAGACAAGAAGAGAACTGACCGTTTATTACCAGTGTTTATACAGTTAGAGTTTAGAGCACAATCTCTATAAGCAGATTTTGTGAATATGCAGAATCTGAACGCCAGGGACAAGATTTGGGGATCGGGAGTCTTCTGGTTTCCATTTCAACCATGTTTGAGCAGGCTTTGGTTGCATGTAAACAGAGCAAAATAGGTGGGACCCATTGACAAAAATTCATCAGCTTTAAAAAATCTTTTGGCGATAGCTGATGGGATCCGAGGTTGAAGTACTCAAAACAGGCTGTCAAACAAACTATAGCTTCGTCTCTGTTAGCATTTAATATCATTTTTACATATAAATAACAACAATCCGGTTTTATTTACCAAAGTGGTATAAAACATAAAGATACAGACATATAATTGTGTAACGTGTAGGTCTGTGTGTGTGTGTATAAACTCTGACTCCATGTGTATCTGATCGTGGAGCAGATGATCTGCAGTATAATAAAGAGCAGCAGCTACATTCCATCTCTTCCTAGTCGGGGCAGACACAATATTATTCACTCCACTGGCTCTGGCTAATCACATCAGCCTACTCATCACACACACACACACACACACACACACACACACACACACACATAGAGGGGGAAGCACAAAAATAGATGCAGACAGACAACCATGCATGAATGCTCCCCAAGAGTTGCAGGTTTGATGCCAAGATCTGACTCCTAAAGCTCATTTAAATGTGTTCCAGTCTTGTTAAAGAATCGGATTTGGTGAGTAGATATAAGCTTAAGAAAAGGGCTGACACTGTTAAACACGCATTATGAAGCTACCCACCAGAATGAAAACATGTCTAATAGATGTGTTTGTCCACCACATGACTGAGATAGGGACATTTTTTGTTTTTTGAGTCCAAACTGCTCTTAAGCAGCGGTTTTGCAGTTAAGTCTTAGCTGGTAAAAAACCCAGGAAGTGAGGATTATTTTTATGAAGCCGAAGCCTTTTTAATATGTAACAAACTGCTGATGCGAACAGCGTTTGTATGTGTGTGTGTGTGTGAGTGAGTGAATTTAAGTGCTTGAGTGTTTGTATCCCACTGTCAGATATAATTCCACTCCTCTGATTATCAAAAAAAGCAGACCCCTGCGAAGGTAGTGTACTGGAAGTTTTAACATCAACTTTGAGCCTGTCTGCGTGCATGTGTGGGTGTGTATGTGTGCGTGTGTGTCTGTGTGTGACCCTGGGGAGCATGAGCGTGCAAATTCAGCCCTCAGAAGGAGGTCTGAGGGGATTACAGGGAGGAACGATGGGAAAATCTGGGAGCACTCTCTCATTCGCTCACACGCCAGGCTGCTTTTAAGGACAGGCAAGTGTGTATGTGCACAGTGTGTGTTGTGAGTCTGTGTGTGTGCAGCGTGAGAGGCTGCTACCTCATCAAAAGGCACATTCCATTTTTCCACTTTATGCTGATACAATCTTTGTGTGCTCACGCAGACAGAAGAGTCTGACTCTATATCCAAACGATTTCTGATTTTTACAGCCAAGCTCAAGGGCAATTTCAATTATATTTTATTGTGTATGAATCATAGCCTGTATACATCTCCACTTCCTCCCGCTATCCAGAAATGAAGCCAAAATATCCTGAATACAAACGCTGCCATCTTGTGCATTTGAAGCCAGTCTGGACAAAATGGAGCTCGACCAATGTTCAGTTGTCAATAATCCTGTTTTTGTAGCATCAAATCACTAATTAGAAGCAAACTTACTGGAGAAAAGGACACTTACATCAATGTGATAAAAACAACCTAAAATGACAGAAAGAATCTTTGAGAAAAGTGTATCTAATGTTTACTTTGACTTTTTAGTTTGGTCGGAGTCCCATCCACCAACATGGAGGTGAGGTTTATGACCCATACTGCAGTCAGCCCCCGGGTGAATTCACTTTTGGAGAGCTGTCATATCGTTCATCTTTATATACAGTTTATGATATGACTCAATGGCTCACAGGGATCTGCGCTGACGTCCACGATTCTCCACCTGGAGAGATGATCAGGATTATAAAGTCAGGAATCCTCACACTCGCCCATGTTTTCAAAGCAGGACCTTGCAAAAATTATGACGTGAATTTACAGCAAAGGCAATTTATGACAAGTGAATAAAAACCACTGAGGGCCACAATAAAAGTAAAGACCCAGACGAGAATGATATAATAGTTTCCACTCTTGAAAACAGAGAAAAATTTAGAAATTATAGAAACAGAGGAGAGGAAAAAAAAGAGCTGTAAGCACGGCTGAGGGAAGTGACCTATGGATGGAAGGTTGATCGTTCCATTTCTTTTATTAGTTTTAAATAGTGTACAGCCTCAGGCATTAAACCTCTTCTCCGTATAGGGACAGACAGAAGGGAGAGTTTTTGAGATCATAACTTCTGTCACGAAATAACATTCCTCTCCTGCTTGAAACCACTTGAAACAAGTCCTCTCACATTTAACAGATGGATGAGGAACCGCACAGATACTCCTGACCTCTCTTGACTTTTAAATCTTTTACTCTCTCCACTTTCTGCCACTTTCACTCTTTTTCCCCTTCTTTTCCTCTCCCGCTCTGTCTCTCTGTTTTTAACTTTGTGTCAGTTACACTGAATCAAGTTCGCCTCTATGTGTGTGTGTGTGTGTGTGTGTGTGTGTGTGTGTGGATCATGTGCGGCCCCTGTGACCCGGGCTGTGTGCGTACGAGAGCCAGACAGTGTGTGAAGTTACCACTGCAACCACAGTAACAGTCTCCGTCCCTCCTCCCTGCAACAATCCCTTGATCCGTGCCTCCTCTTCTCTCCCTAAATCTCCTTTCCTCCCTCCTATAGCTTTCTGGCCTGGATCTCTTCAAGTTTATCCCTCTTTTTAAACCATCATTTATTCCCTTTTCTCTCCTTCCATCTATTCCCCTCATGTGTTCTTTTTTTCCCCTGTCCCACAAACCCACCAACCCTCACTCCCACCCAGACTTGAGGAAACTATAAGATTGTCTTTTCACGTCAGAACTGGAATTCATTAATATAAATAACTGCGTGTCTGAGTCGACCTATATGTGGGAAATTATCCTTGTTATTGTAACCGAGTGAACTTTTGTTTTCACAGCAGAAACTGAATTTAATCAAAGTTGGTCATGGTGGGAAGTAATGAAGTACAAATACTTTGTTTATGTACTTAAGTCGATTTTTCAGGTATCTGTACTTTACGTAAGTATGACTTTACACAACTCCTTACATTTCATTTTACAAAATGGGCTTGTTTCTTTTGTTTGAAAGCATTTCAAGGGAATTATACGTTTTTTAAATTTTGCATCATTTAGCGCTGCCGTCCCGCCATCAAGACAGACGGGGTCAACTACACAGAAAAGACAATTCTTGTGTATCTATCAGTGAATGCACAACATACGTAACATGAAGACGTCTTAAGTTGGAACAACATGGGAGAAAGTGAAGAATCAGCCAACGTGGCTGACAATGTTGACAATTGATCAATATTGACGATGCAGCACAGAAAGAAAACATTCCCCATCTCTGGTGTTATTCAAATTAAATTATTCTCCTGTAAAGTTTTCAGTTTTTAGTATATTGTCTTTTTAATTTGTTTGAAGTGAGTGAAATAGTCTTCAAACTATATCAATAGAGACATCTTCATTGTTTGCTTTGCACAGATGCAGCCGGTAGAAAGGGCCTTTCTTTTACTTTATTTGTACAGGCTTCACTTGAATAGTATCTGTACTTACTTGGGTACAGAATGTGTTTAATTTTACCACCTCTGAGGTTGGTAATATACAACTGTTCCTCCTTTTAAAAACACATCTATCCACAAAGACACATTTAGCTCATAATTTGATTTAATTCAGCTAAAGTCTTTACATCAGTTCATTATTTGTTTAAACTTTTTAATTTGATGTGGTCATTTTTAATTCAAAGGAATATATTGTTAACTCTTATTCTCTAATTACATAAACTTAATATACTTGCTTTAAAGCAGAACATAAAGCAGAATTATCAAGAGTTGAATTACCTCATTAACCTAGCACATGCTGAATAAGCCATTGTGAATGCTTTGCCAGCACATTACAAGTATCTGGCTGCCTCAACACCTGACTTAAGCAAAAAGCATAAAGTAGATTAATTATTACATGAGGATGGAGCAGGAATAAAGCTATACTTTCTCTTCCCAGAGCCTCCTATTAGAGATAAACAGCTTTAAAAGCCATATTAACCCTGCAGTGGGCTTATTACACAAGCGATATATCCTCAGCATGAAATGTGTTTTTAACTGTGCAAAACAATTCACCACGGTTACAGTGGTATTACACAAACCGTTCCTTGAGGGCAGAAAGACAGTGCTTGTTTTTAGCGAGTTGTTGCAACACAGGGGTTTGCACAGGGTGATGATCAGTGACAGGGTGGTATAGTGGGCAGAGGGTGTGTATGGGGATCTGTGATGAATGGCACAACAGGGGTCAGCAGGGGACAAAGATAGAATCAGATGGGATTACTGAAGGAGGAAAAGCACGGGGAACAGTGGTGATAAGGCACGCGCTAGAGAAGTGAATGTGTGTGAGTGTGTTAGAAAGAAAAGTGTACGAACAAGGGGACAATCCTTTTAATGGGTCACTGAAGATCAATGGAAGTAGTGAAATCTCGAACTTAAAGCTGGCTGAATAAAAAAAGCCATTAAGTGTGAGGATGTGTTAAATGTGAATATATGAGTGGATGTGAGAAAACTTATAGAAGGACACAAAGAGAGTACAGTCGAGTCAGTAATCCAGCTTTTTCTTTGAGCCTCTCTGAATATCATGAAAGGACATTCAGACCAACAGACAGACACACACACACACACACACACACACACACACTGACCATTAGAGGTTCAACAACTGATCTCAGTTCAGCTGAGGACGCCTCATAGAAGCTTCATGGTAACAGCTGGCTTGGGTGTTTCTTTGTGTCCCACAATACCACTGATATTTATTCAAATAATGAGATCAAATGGAATAATGGAACTATGTCAGCCTGGGGGCGGCACAGTGGTGCAGTGGTTAGCACTAACACCTCGCAGCAAGCTGGGTCTTTCTGTCTGCGTGGGTTTTCTCAAGGTATCCAGCTTCCTCCCACAGTCCAGAGATATGCAGATTGGAGTTAGGGAAAATGGAGATTCTAATTCCCCTTTTCCTCAGGTCAAAAATCCACAAACACCCACTAACATCTGGCTTTTATCTGCAATGGGAATTGGCATTCACTCTCGGTCATATGACTCTGCAGTAGACACAGGTTTTAATTGGCTCCGGCTACAATCTGCAGTGACACCTGGGCGTTGCTGCACAAATATCCATGAAGGATCTTGTACTTATTGTTTTTTTACATCTTGGGAACATCATGCAACATGTAGTATGATATACACAAATACATACACAAATATATAAATCTGGAATTTATTTGGTTCGCCTGCACTACAGAACATAGTTTGCGGTGCAATTTATTACTTGGAGAGGCAGAAGTTGAAGAAGAACATATGGCTCGTTTGTAAGTGTTTCAAATTACTGTCTGGGGTTGACTGATGCTTCATTTTTTTACTGATCACAATCGTCTTTTTCAGATGTTACAAAACAATGTGATACAATGCAACAAAATCAATGTTTATTTAAACCTGAATGTGGCTTTAAACGCTGAAAAGGTGTGTGTATAACAGCATTGTCCAGCCCGAGGTCTGAGCTGCAAACACTGCAATCGAGGACATTTAGTCGGTGGGACGGGAAAAAAACGAGATAAAGTATTGACACGGATAAACAACCCTAAATGAAAGCTGGGCATGGTTCCCAACTTTCTATTAGATCTACAGTCCCTCTTCACTCATGGAAAGGATGTACGCCTTTGGCTTTGCACTGACAAGCACACATACACAGGATTCCTGCATGTACTCACCCCATGTCCTCTTAGACACAAAGGGGTTGTAAATATTTAGTAATAGAACAAAACAGTCTGTTTCCCAACCAGGGATTTAGGCAGCCGACAGTCTGAGGTCGTCGTTTCAATGTTGAGAAAAGCAAAGCACTGCCAGAACTGCACTCATACTGGATCCCAGTGAGCTTTAACTGGTCAGCACATCAACACCAAGCAGTAAATTTAACATTGTACTTAAAACCTTGGAGTATCTTCCCAGTATGAGATTGGTTTTGATTGAATATGAGAAATGAAGCAAAGTGAAAGTTCTTCAAATGCAGTTTATCTCTAGGCTCCACTTGCTCATTCTCTCTTTTCATCCAATCACAGCCTGAGCCACCTTGAGCCAATCACCTGTTAGCTGTCATCCAGCTATTAGTTCACAGACAGACCCACATTCACCCCTGCACCACCGTGTCATCTCCCTTTAATTGTCCAATCAGAAGCCTGCATGAGACGCCCCAACTTAGTGCTCCATTCTTCATCACCAAGTGTTGAGGCTCCAGGGGAAGTCTCCTTCATATCCAAAGCACGTCATTCATTGGACTGTTTCCATGGTGTTCTACTTCCCACAAGTTTTGTCCTCTTGTTCACAATAAATATATTTCATTCAATTTACTCTTTCTCCTTTGTTTCTCTAGGAGTCTCTCTTGGTTGATGTGAAAAACCTGTGTAAACTCTTTCATGCTAGTGACTGAATCACTGCTGACTCGTAGTTTGTCTGTCTGATCTCTAACTGTTTTACAAATAAGTGTTTGCATAAGTGGTTGTTTCAATTCCTTCAGGAAGTATTGGTTTGTCTACTAGTCTATTATCATACCAATTCTGAGGTTAAACCACTTGTCAGGGTATGAGTTTTAATGTTTTTTTTTGGATGAGCGGTTTTGAGAAAGCTTTTTTGTTGTTGACAAGACTTGGCATGAGAGAAAAAGGCAAAAATACCCTTACAGAGGATGTTACAGAGCAGAACAGATGTCAAAATCTTTACCTTTCTTTCCTCAGCGCGCTTGTTTCCTGCCGGACTTTCTCCAGGGCTTCCCTCAGTCGTGCCACTTCTTCTTCTGCTGCGCAATACTTCCGGTTTGTCTGTTCCTGTCTCTGTTGCCACGATGACAGCTGCTCCTGTATGGTGTTGCACCTTTGTTGGCATGATAACCACCTCTCATGTTTCTCCTCCAACTCCCCTTTTAACCTGTGGAACAGATGCAGTCACACATTTAGTCACTACTGTAGAGGAATCTGCAAGAATGAAGAGGATGTGTATGTATTCTTTGAACAAACACACAAAAATATACACACACTTATCTGCACAGGTCAACAGATGTCAAGTATGTTACATAAAAGAACACAAAAAAATAATCAACACAGTACATGTTGTAGTCGTACAGTTGTTTAGAATATTTGTCAGTTTGTCTCCGTGTAAAATCAAGGCAAGTGATGGGTATATGTTTATATAAAGTAAAAGAAAGAGATGAACTGAGAGAGAAGTGTACTATTTGAAATTATCTGCAGGGGAAAAAATATTATCTCATCTCTCTTCTATACGTTAGCAATGAAAATTAGATGAAGATGAACTGAGTTGGAACCAAAACAGTATCAGCACCTATGTGGTTGATATTCTAGTAGTTGGTACTTTTGTTTTAGGTCGACACACTATGTGAAGATAAACAGAGAGTTTCATTAAAACCCTGTCACACATGTGATCAAGGTGAAAGTAACAAATTTACAATCCATTCCACTTAAAAGCAGAAAATACCGATATCATCTGAGTTCTCAGCAGCAACCAAAGCTTTTCCACCACATAAACATCATCATCGAGCACCTTTGGTCTCAATTCTTAGACAATTTGAAGAATTGTTGTCTCCCATTACAGTTTTTGTCAGCTCTGAGGGAGGCTGCCCCCCTCAATCCGCCTCCTCAAATCTCATCCCTGCTGAAATAGCCTCCACCCCCCCCAGTGGAGTGCTATCATATGTTGAGCTGTATAGGAGCCAGAGGGTGAGATCAGAGACCGCTGTGTGGGAAGGGAAATAAATCGACAGTGTAATTGAACACACCAGGCTGCCAGGGGCTTAGACAAAGAATACCAGCAGATACCATGTGAAAAAATACACACCCAACATACATCTAACGCCTGCATGGAAAGATGAGAGGCTCCCTGTGTGTGTCTGTCAGTGAGTGTACGCATGTGGGTTGGGTGGAGGCGCACATGTGTCGGCCTGCCTATTAATGTGATGCACTGAAACTGAAGTGCCACTGCGCCTCTGCATATCTGCAGCGTGTATGTGTGTCTTTGCACAGATAAGTGTATGTGTGTGAGAAACAAGACTCCGCGCCAACTAAGAAGTGCTTCCATCTGTTGCGCCAGCCTCACACGAGACTCTCTGCTGTGTCATTGGCACTTTATAGAGCCTAAGATCCTCATCTGATCTACGAACAGATTTCAACTGACACTAATATCCCCACCTCTCTCTGGGAGGAAGGAGATGGAGGAGAGAGATAAAGCAGAGGAAGAGGATGAATGGAGGAGAAAGAGGCTACATCCATACAAATACAATTTTATTTAAAAACGCATCAGTAACAATCTACTAACAAACCTGAAGACATAAATCATGTGACCGTTCATGTATCCTGGGCATTTGTGTGGTGGTGTAAACAGGAAGCAGATTGTCTACCGTGCATTTGGTTGCTTAGGTACAGAAAATATGAACAATGGGCCGACAATGAGGTGGAACTGTTAACATCTTGCATTCGCCGCTGGTGGGAGAGTCATGACTGACAATCAGGAAGCAAATGTGGGTGACTTCAGACAACTGCTTCAGAGTTTTCAAACTAAAACAGGAACAACAGCATTTCCAAATGTCTCAGTATAGAAGCTCTACAACACTGGAGTAGTTTGGACGACAGGCGTAAACGTAGCAGTAGTGATGCGTTTTTAAACTATAATGGGAAAGTTAGAGAAAGAGAAGAGATAGTCACATAAAACTAAAACAACAGAGGAGGTTAGTTTACCTGAGTATTTTTCCTCTGTGCTCCTTCTCAGACTCTTGCTGTTGGGACAGCTGTTCCTCACTCTGCTTCTTCTGCTGCCTGGAGACACAGAATAGACGCTGTTACTATATTTTCACAATTTTTTTGAGTCAGTGAATTTATGAGCAAGGTAGCCTGACACAGTGAAAATAACAAACTGCAGCTATAAAATCTAATTCACAAGAATTGCATCTGTACAAGAGAGACCAAATCCAACTAGTATTCTGTGTACTCCTATGCGTGAAAGAGGCCAAGCTTAACAATAAATTCGCCATTACATGTTAATATACAGCAGGAAAACCTTTTAATTCAGATGTATTGAGTTGTTAAATTTAAAGTATATCCTACGTGCATGTGTGTTGCTGTGTTTTTGAGATCACCATGTGCAGCTGCTGCTTCGCTCTTGAAAAGTAAATTGGAAATCAGTTTCAATTCTGGTTCTGCGTGCCATGACAGTATGTGTGCACACAGCCACACACGCACAGACACATCCACAGCCACACACCCACAGACTTTACCCTAACCCTCCTAACCCTGTCGACTTCTCAGCCTAATCCCCTCTCTGGCGGCATGATCAGTTAATGTGTTTGTACGAATGTGTGTGTGTGTGTGTGTGTGTGTGTGTGTGTAGCTGGCTGTCTAGCCCTGTGACCTTGCAGCCACACGCAATGAGGATACAGAGGGAGAGGGCTCGCATGTCTGAGCTCACAGACAGACTGCCTGTTTTCACTGCCAATCTAACAGATTTCTCTCACAACTGTATGGAATTATTTCCTCCATTTTACTAAAGAGGATTCAGTTAAACAGCCAGTTGCATAAATACTTCATTATATCTGAAACATAACATGTTGACTTTTGTTCCTTTTTACTGTTTATAAATGGTAACATTTAATCAAACACTGTAAGCCACATGTGACTACGTTTGCAAGTATTTGTCTAATACCAACCAAACACACACACACACACACACACACACACACACACACACACACAAAGAACACAGACAGCTGTCTGTCTACCTCTCTTTGTACCTCTCATCATACATCTCCACTGCCCCCCTCTCTCTCTTTCTCTGCATCTCTCTCTCTCTCTCTCTGCTTGTTTATTCTCTTTATCCATCTTTTCCTCTCATGCTGTTGCAGCTACTGGTGATTTAGAACAGGCCCCTGCATTCTCCTGCATCCGGCCTATTTACGCAGAGCATACTTTACAGTCCGCTCTGCATGTTCCCTCTTCTCACTCTCCTTTGCTGTCTTCAAGGTCAGAGATAACACGATGACTGACTCCCGGCTGCTGTTTCCACTATTCCTGATCCTCTGGTCTGCTGTTCCTGACTTTGTTTCAGTGGTGACAAGGGAGTTGACAAATAGAAGAGATGTAAGAGACAGACAGAGGGTTGTTTTTTGAATGACAGTAAGGAGCAGGGTTCATAGTGCAGTCAAGTGCACCATGAGAGTGGCTGGGGAGTTGGGGTATTCTTGTGGCTGCAGGCATGCGCTGTACTTGCAGAAACTAGTGAAAACTCGTGTCCATGTGGAAACAAGATGACATTGGGATCAATCTATTATAATACATTATTAGTGGGCATGTTTGGAGCAGGTTACTGTGATAGAACAAGGGTTCTTGAAGGGCTTCGGCGTGGGAAAGAAATCTGTTAATTGTCTTACATTTTCCATGGGACTTGGTTAAGTGTGTGTGCGACTCACTTATATAACCTCTGTGGGACCTTTTCAGCACTGATCTTTTCATGGCCAGAGGACCTCATGGGGACCAAAGCCTGGTCCTAATGAGGCAAAACATCATTTCTGAGCTCCTGGTAAATGTTAGGTGCGAGATGTGAATTGTGGTTAAGTAAAGACAGAGTTGGGTATGAATTGGTGGTTAAGGTAAGGAATAAGGTTTTGATTCGGCTGTCCACAATAACTGGAAGTAAATAAAAGTTTTAACAATAATAGCAGCACAAATGTGTTCGTGTAATCCAGGACATGGAAATTTCCATCTGATCTGTCTCTAATTGTTTTAAATTGTGCTTTTTGATTTAAAATTATGTTCTTTGAATTGTGTCTCTGTGCTGTCTTCAATGTCCCTGTACAGCACCTTGAATCTAATGTGCCTTGCCTTGACCGCAGAATATATTTTTAGATGTGAAATAGAATGTAGCTTTAACATAGAACAGACAAGTAAAACAAGAGGGTGTGCCTCCATAAATGCAAGTGAACTGTGGATGGTCCTCCGCTGATACGTTCTTAACAGACGGAGAAAGGGGGGGCAGACAACACACAACACAGTGACTCTTGACACCAAAATTGTAAAGTACCACTGACACCGTGCTGAGCGTTCCCTCCCTCTGCGGTGTACGGCAAGAAAACCAAAATACCAAACAGCCACATGAAATAGGACCAAAAAACACCCATCTCATATGATAGAGAAAGAGAGAGAAAGAGAGAGAGAGAGAGAGAGAGAGAGAGAGAGAGAGAGAGAGAGAAGAGCAAGGGAGACAGGGAGGAGATTTCTTTGGAATCAGGGAAAGAAAGAAAAAAATAAGACTTCCTCTTTCCCAAAAGCAGTGACTGATTTTATCAAATATGAGATAAACAGAGTGCTGAGGTCAGGGAGGAGGAAAAAATCAAGAGAGGTGTGTGTGTGTGTGTATGTGTGTGTGTGTGTGTGTGTATGTGTGTGTGTGTGTGTGTGTGTGTGTGTCAGAGCAATATCTTATGTGAAATGAAGTTCACCCTGAGATCAATAGTTATTTTACTTCCAACAGTCACACAGGCACACACATGATGGGTGCGCACCACACACACACATACACGCACACACGCACACACACACACCACTCAGTGTGCCTCAGCCTTATGAAAACAAGCTGTATCACATCAATCACAACCCGATCCTTTGCTCTCTCTCTCTTGACCTTCACTCATTCCATCATCCACTCTTTCATCCCTCCTCCCTTGCTCAATGCATCAATCCTGTCTTTTATCTCTCTCTCTCTCTCTGTCTCTCTCTCTTTTCCCTCTAATCCACCCTTTCAACCTGGCCTGCGTCTGTGCTGGATGATCCATGTGTTCATCCTCTGATGAAAGGATGAGCTCAGCATCTACCACCAATCACAGCACAGCAGTAAGCTTCCCCGCACTTTTTACATACGTGTCATTCAGGAGGGGGCTCTCTCTCTGTGATCCATGCTGCCAAAGCGCCCTGGGGCAAAGTGCATATTGTGACTGCCCATCAGGCCTGCTGGCTCTTTCAGAGGCCAGAAACTTGATCTGTAAGCCAGGTAACTAAGGGTGATCGTCACATAATGCGAACACCGTCGGTTTTTTCACATCTGAAAGTCCGAACCAAGATCGGAACCAAGCTTTATGTCTTTGTTACAGTGTAAACATTTGATCCGGTTAGTTTTGGTTTCAAATTGTAATGTAGGGTGCAATAAGATTTTAATGTATCATATGAAATTGCCTATGTGGCCTGAGCCTACCCATACATTACATTGATTGGTTTGTAGATGGACGTGTCTCTGAAGTCGGCATGTTGTCAGTTTGTTCGGTTAGGTGGGTAAAAGTCTTTCAGTTTTAAATGGAAAAAAGTAATTTTGTTCCCACTGTCATATCATTATGATATTACTACCAGCGTCATCAACATCCAGCTATTGGTCTGAACTTCTGAACTATACAAAAACTATTTCCACACTGCAAACAACCCGAACCATGTGTCAGTTTGATGTGGACTGAATTGACAACATTTTGGTCCAAGGCACCTTTTACACCTGTTATTTAAGTTCAGACTAAACTTCCTAACTTCTGGAGCATACAAGGTGGGTGTAAAAGTGTCCTCCAACAGCTCTTTTCACAAACTCCAGAGGTCCATGCACATAAACTGTAAATACAAAATATTCAGGGGAAACAGTCAAAACTTAAAACAAGCGAAAAGATCCTGAACAGTGTGGAAGTCTGTGTGTGTAAACAGTCATGACAAAACAAGCTGCCCTTGAGTGTCTCTCTGGCATGCTGATCAGATTGCATGCTGGGATCAGAAGGATTCCAACGCCACTCACTGATCTTAGACCACCCCTGTGACATGTGTCTGTGCTCATTTCCAAGGCAACGGGCTGGCGCCACAGAAACACAACAGGTGCGGAAATACTGATATTTGATGGAGGAGCGGGTCACAGGGTTGGGCAGTTGTCACGGCAACAGCTCTTGTTCATAAACAAACTGTTACTGTCTGTCCTTGGATCTCGAAAGAGAGAATCGTGGGTTTGGGAGGCTCTGGAGCTCATATGATGCGAAGTGATACTGAAAAGAAGACAGATACACACACACACTCACACACGCACACACAGAGCCTGTCTGAAGGGAGTCTGAACAGGCGACCAATCAGCATCAGACGGACAGTGAAAGGAAGGTTAGCCGATCAACTCAGATTTCCCATCTGGTCCTCAGACGTCTGCCTCACAAGGGACAGACAACAACTGAGTGTACTACAATTTACAAGTGGCTGATTGTTGCAGATACATTTACTAAGGTAAAAATTCAGTGTTTGAGTATTTTATACTACTTTATATTTTTATACATTATTTTACTGTCAAAATTTGTTAATATTATAATATAATATTATTATAATGAATATTATTCAAAGATTGTGATATTAAAATGACACTTGTATAAGATGGCATACAGTGATACAGATTAAACCATGTCAGTACTTAATGACAACTAATTACAGTGAAATGCGCCCCCCACCCCCAACCTACACCATCTCCAACATATACTACGCAGACACGCCTTCTTGTGCAATACAGTCTCAGACTTGAGCACATGCGCCGCCTGCTCGTCCACACACACCTCCTCATGCAACATGGCCTTAAGGCTGATTCCATACGTCCATATGTCTATATGTCTGGGTGGGTCGCATGCGACTGCAAACATCCTTGTGTCAGCCCTGATCCCTGTGCAGGACGGATGTGCACGCTCCACTCACATACACACACACACACACACACATGAAGTATAATTTGTGTTTGATAAATGCACACATTGGTATGTGCAATCTAGGGTGGGGGGTAATATTTTATTTTCCCCCTGAAAGTTACATAGACAGTTACATTTTAACTGAGCACTGATCATTTCCTAGAACTGGTTTGATGAGATTTGAAGAGCAAACTAACTAGTTTGATGGTTTTCTTGAACAATGCATCACATTATATTGATACTCCATGATACTCCATACATTTTTGTTAGTGACACAGGATGATTAAGTCTCAACACAATATGGTTGTACCAAAACTCTGAAGTGTATGAAGGTACTAAGATGTAGTATGAAATACATATACAGTGTTTTAAATACGTAATGCTCTGTAACAAACACTAAATTTATAAATACAAATTATGTTCGACATTTTCTTTTATCAGAGTGTATATCTTAAACACAACACTTGTGTGGAGATAGACATTGGCACTCTCACAAAATACCTTTCTACATTAACACAAAAAGTCACGTATGTACACACACACACACACATTCCGAATCCAACACACATACCGCCTGAGACAGTCTCTCCAGTAAGTGTCGCTGACAGCACTTAGAAACTGATTAGGAAAATGAGAGAAAAGGAAAACCAGAGCAAAAGCTGTAATTGAAAAAGGTCAAAAACAAAGTTTATGGCCAAAAAATGTGGGAGCGAGGGAGAGAGAGTGATGAGGAGGTTAGAGGGAGAAGGAGGAAACATTAGTGAATAAATGAGTGCTTCATCTGTAGTCTGTCAGGTCAAGTAGTCCTTTAATGCTTTGATTATCAGATAGAAAGCAACATTTAACATTTACTCCCTTAGTGTGTGGGGGGATGTTTGTGTCTCTGTGTGTCAGCATGTGTGTTTTTGTGAGTACGAGTCAAAGTGTATAACTTTGAAGTGGTTGATTTTTCAAATATTATGAATGATGTTACTAAAACAAGATTCACAGTGTTCTGTGTTGCTTAAGACTATCACTAATATGGGACATTAATACCATAACAACCTACATTTTTGAAAATGTTGCCACTCTCCAGTGCAAACCAGTGTCAAGATATCTTGGCCAAATATACTTGTAATTTAACGGGCAGCAAAACCTTCCCTACAGTGAAGCAATCTTGTGTTTGTGAAAATACTAAGTAGAGAGCAGAAAACAGCATACTGCATGTGTGGATTAAGTATTTCGGTCTATAAGAAACAGGCTGAGTTGCCAAAGTAAAACATGTAAATCTGCTTTGATTTGCTCATGTTGCCGTCAATTAGCCTTTTAGTTGCTTTGTTAACGCTTTACCTGAGGCTTTGTCCATCTTTGCTATAACTTCCTTCAATAAACGACATATGACAAAGGAAAAACACTGTTAGCCCTTCCTTACACTCTTTATATTTGTCAATGGTAATGGATCACAATTGTTACTGCTTCATGATGTCATCAAACTAGATCATATGTTAATGTTTTATAAAGTTATATGTCGTACGTTTACAGTTGTTTCTGAAGGACGTGGTGGGCTGAGTCATTGCAGCTATACTGGTGAAACTAAAAATGTGTTTTTACTCAAACACTCATGATTATTTCACAAACTGACATTTGTGAAGTAACATTGTTGGTGTGGATCTGTATTTACCTTAGTTTGAGTATGTTTTTATTTGCAGTTTTAGTTATTAGAGAGGATGGAAAAGTGGAAAAATGTCAATGGAGCTGCAGCATGTTTGAAGTGATAGAGCTTCATCACCCAAATATTTTCAAAGGCCACAGGGGCATATTTTTCTCGAGTCCTAACTCCTTGACTAGACCTTTGTGTGAGTGTATATGAGTCAAACCCTCTGTTGATGCAGCTTAGCAGGCCCGGTATGCGGAACATGAGCATTTCCTGGTTTGGGCAGTGCCAAGGGGGATGTATAGCAGCTTTCGATTGGTTGAGGTAAATCATACATGTAGCCAAACCCTATGGTGACCTGCTCTTCACCCAGCATAGCCCAAATACCAAAATCCACCTGTGTCCCCATCTGTGCAAATGTTTTCATATGTGTGTGTGTGTGTGTGTATATGTGTGTGTGTTTTACAATATATTGTATAGACTTACATCAGCTGCTGAGTTAGCTTCTCTCTCGCTTCTGTCGTTTTCTGTAACTCCTCACTGCAATGTTTCAGCTCCTCTTTCAGCACTTCACACACACACAGACACACACACACACATACACATTTTAGTTGACTTGACAGGATGATGATGCCTGTAAAAGTTTGTTTATAATGCTGGCACAAAGCCAGGCTTGTTACCAGAGGCTGTAATGTATGACCTACAGAAAGAGGGAGACAGAGGAGAGTATGGAGACGGATGATATTGTGAGCTCACACTTGTGCAAAGGAGGAAACCCTACACCAAATGAAACTATCTACAAGAATGACAAGATTGGTCAAGAGAAAGAAAACGAGAGGTGGAGGAAGAGGAAAACAAAAGAATGAGAGGAGTTCCAGACAGAAACATGAGAGTAACTCAAATGTAAAAGTGGTAGGGCTGGAAAAAAAAACAGGTGGAAAATGTAAGCATAAGGAAGTAGTTGAAAGTGAAAGGGAGAGCAGGAGGAGGGGAGTGTGTGGTGAAGAAAGGAGGCCGAGTAAGTCTGTGCTCAGGGGAGCCCATGAAACAGGACACCACAGTCTGGCTGTCTTTTGTAAAGTGTCTGATACAAAGTAGCTGCTGCAGCGCTACTGTTTCCTCCCTTCACTGTCTGTCCAGTTTCCCCATGACAGCTATAATAAGAAAGTATTATATCATAAGAAAGACAATAAAAAAAATATTCTTTAAGAGATAACAAAACAGAGCAGAGCAAATTAACACTTTAAACATTTAAAATCAGAAGACACTTAATCTGAGTGAGTGATCTTGTCATTTTTTTAAATTTTTACTTGCTTTAATTAAAGTACAGTAACTTTATAAAAAAAACAGAAAGGGAGAAAAGCTTAACTGCAATATTTAGGCCTCATGTCGGGCCACCAACTTGTCAGACTGAGACGCTGGACTTACTGCAGCTCCAGGCAGAAGTGGATATCACGCAAGAGAAAAGCACTTAAGTTTCAAGTCTGAATAGAGAACAACTCCACCTCAGCATTATGACTATCAACATCCGTTCCTGTCATTTACACCAGTATCGTCACCAACTTCCCTGTTAATTTCATCAGCTTCATCAGGAGTCAACTCACTGATAAGCTTAAAGCATGAAGCACAAGGATGTCTTATGATCACCATAGAGAAGGGCTTAAGAATGTCTTCATGATCTTAAAAATCATCATAGCATTCATTATCAACATCACTGAGTGTAGCAGCACAACACGAGTTCGTACTCTATATAAATATCAGCACATGTATAATGAATTGGATGTTGTGTTCTGGAAGGAATGATCTGAGTTGACCTATCATGTAGGAGAATAGCATGCATAAGTTTATGGCCTGAATACCGATGGATGCAGATTCTGTTCTATTTCCTTATTAGGTCTTATTAATCTACCAGCTGTGGAACGACAGCAGTAGGTCAGCAGATGCAGATCTAAAAAGAATCTTCACCGACGTTGTGCAATTAAAGGATCACGGCCGCATTTACAGGCCAAAAAAAAAAAAAAAAAAATTCAGTTACATGCACGAGTCAGAAGAAAAAAACGACTTGAAGAATCCCAGTATGTTTTGGGCTGAAGCTCCAGAGGGCAAGTGAAGCATGAGCGCTTAGAGTAGACGACTGTATTAAACTAGAAATAATGCCATGTGGTTGTATGCCCCCATCAACCACGGCAGTTTTAGTCGACATACATTTTTCCCCCTAGAGTCATATGAGGTCACCGTGACCTTTGACCTTTGACCACTGGTATCTAATCACTCTAACATCTGGCTTTTGTCTGCAATGGAGTGGATACATTTGGGGATCACTCCCGTCCCGGGCGTGTTCCTGATGTCGGACAAGATGCACTGGGGAGAAAACAAAACAAGAAGGCAAACTCTTCTCCTGGCAGTGGGAAATGACTCCATCACCTATTTTAGCATGTTTACATGAGTTTATAATAATGTATAATCTAAAGATTCTGGTTAAAAGAGATACAAGTGGGCATTTGAACCAAATTTGAGATGAATCTCTCAAGGTGTTCTTAAGATAACGCATTCACAAGGCAATGAAGAGTTTTGTGAGGTCAGTGACCAAGACTGTTGACCACCAAAATCTAATCACATCATCTTTGAGTCGTGGTGAGTGTCATTCCAAGATATAGAATTGCATTGCTCACCTACTTGGCTGCAGGAGTATATGATGCCTGCTGCTGGGGCATATAATCATTATCATTAAAAACTATTCGAAATAAATAATTTAGTTACTTTTACAATGGTAGCATCGTGGCTTTTCTTTGAGTTTGCTGCAAGCTGAAAATGATAATAGAAGCCACTGTTTGTATAATTGGCAAATAATATATGAGCTCACTCAAGGCACCCCGTTGCCTGACTGTTTTTCCTTCATATTTATCACAGCCTGAGATCAATGCCAAGCTTAGATGCTAAGAACGATTCTGAAATGAGTCAGTACAATTGTCATTGGCATTAATATTCGCATGAGCATGAAGCATGATCATCTTGGCTAGGTGTTTGAACTGCTCACAGGCTACCAGTGTGGGCAGTGCACTGTGTTTGCATTTGTGTGTGCGTGTGTGTACTGTATATTGAGTGAGTTGTCTATGAGGGTCCTTCAGAGCGCTGCGGCTGGGCACTGTGGCTGTGGCACTGAAGAGCTCTCAGACCGATGTCAGCCTGACATTCTCTTCCTCCAAGCCTGTGTTCTCCTCACTCTATCACATTGTTTTTTTGTCTCTTTCATTCTTCTCTTCACTTTCTCTGTCCTGTTTGATCTATTTAGCTATTCCACTCCCGTCTATCTACAACTGTTTACCCCCTTTTCTTTCTTACCCTCTACATCTCATTCTCCCTTTCTCTCTCAGCAGGAAGAGGGGTGTGTAGGAGGTCCTCCTCAAAGCAGCAATACAGCAATAATTGCTTTCTGGTCACTGTGACATGACGGGGTCTGCCAGGGTAAAGCAACACACACTGAACACACACATACACACACACATACACACACACACACACACACAGACACACACACACACACACACACACACACACTTCCACAAACTTCAGACAGACAAACACAAACAAAGTACAACTTAATACACACTCACTGCAGCAAAAATACACACATAAACAAAAATACCTTCATAAGTACTTGATGGAGCAGAAAGAAAGAGTTTGCAATGAAAGCAAACCAGCACAACTTTCTCCACAGTGCTTCTATTATTTGTCTCACTGCTTACACACAGACACACACAGTGTAATAACGTGGCTGTGAATGTTATAGTAATGCACCACCAGCTGGTCACCAACACTGTAACCGTAACAGTATAGCAGTATTTGTACTGGGAGGGTTCTCTGTATCACTCATATGGCAATATATGAACATATGGTTTTGGCTACCTAATTACCTATCACACACACACAAACACACACATACACACACACACACACACACA